AGGCGGTGCCCGGTGCCGAGCGCAGGCTGCAGTGCCCACAGGCCGCGAGGCCGGACCTTAATTAAGATTTAAGTAAGACAGCATTGTAGATCCCTGGGCGAGGGTGGCGGAGAGGGCTGTCTGTCGGCGCTAAACCGTAACCCTGCGGGGGGGGGCGGACCGCGGCCGGCGATCCACCTCTGGGCCGGCGCGGGGGGCCCAGAGGGTGTCCATGCGGGGGGGAGATGGGGTCCCATGGCCCGCCGCAGGCGCCGATTTTTTTGAGTTTTTTCTTTTTTCCCGATTTTTTTACTTGTTTTCATGGGAATTCGGCGTACTTGCGGCCATGCTATCACGCCTTGCGACAGCCTGTCGGCGCAGCTGACCGTGCCATGATGCACAATTGATCACCTGCATAGCTCGCGGCCTTAGTATTAAGCATTCAGTGACGACCTGATCGTACGGCCAGTAGGAAGGTGTCCTTCCAGCTGCGTGCACGCTTCTGGCGCAATGCGCGTCACCTCGGATGGGCTGCTGGCACTCTCGAGGCTATGCCTACACAGCCTCGCGCGCATGGGCAGTCAAGAGGGACCACGCACCTTCTCAGGACAGCGCCGGTGCCTCTCTCTTGGACCGGCAAACTTGGTGGTCTCGTGTCACCAATGTGGGACCAGTGCGGCATCGCGCCATCGACAGCTCTGAACTGCGCCTCACCACTGACCGGGAAGGCCGCCAAGTGGGCCAGCACAGGTCGCACATTGTGGCAGCAGTCAGCAGTGCATGGCTGATAGCTAGAGCAGCAGCGTCAGGGTCGCAGGGTCGGATCGTGTCAAGCCTCTCGCCCGGCCGGCCGCGTGCAGACGTCGGCCTGTCTGCTGTCTGGAGTGATCTGTCGGCGGTCAGTACGACCGATCAGGTCGGAGTTTTCTGATGGTTGGAGGGTCTATCTGTATGTACTCCTCGAGATCTCTCCAAATCTGCCCTCTGATTAACCTAGCTTAATCGGGAAGTCGGTGCTAGTAGAGACTAGTAGAGCCGGAGCCCCGTTTCCGCACTGCTGCGCGGCGCACGGTGTGGGCCGGGGGCCCCCGCGCCGGCCCAGAGCGATCCACGCGTTCCCAGACAGATTCCCGTTGGAGGTAGACCGCTTGTGTAGCCAATCAGCCTTAAGCGAGCGCGGGCCTGGCCGTTTTGGACCAATGCGCAATGGCCGAGTATCCGAGAGGCGGCAGCCCCTCTGCCCTCTAAGCTCTATTCTATTGTTTGATGTGGTGAGGCTAAATCAATGAGATTAGGCCCACACTGCCAACTTGAGGCTAAACTCCATGCACGTTTGTAGTATCTATTAGCTTGCCAACCCCAAAGTCGCGAGTTGTGCAGGACCCCCGCCCATGCAGCGTGCAGCCCCACTTATCATGCTGCAGCCCCAGCTCCCAACTTCTCAGAGAGAGATTGTCTTCCTCAGTCGGCCCTCTAGGTAGGGTAGCCGAAGCGCTTGAAGTCGCGGGCATACACCTGCGCGATGAGCTTTTTAGAAGCGGCGCTAAGATGTGCTAGGCCGAGGCTACAGTTTCCAGCCAGCTTGCGCTTCTTTAGTCTCCGGAGGCCGCTCGCTGGCAAGCGCTGTCTCACCACCCGCTCAAACTCGCCCTCCGGCAGCCGCTCGAACCGGAGGACGATGCCGCACTGCGCACCGTCTGCGTCGGCTCGCGTCGCACCGTCGACGTAGGCCCACTGGGGCAGCCAGTGGCAGTCGTTGGTGGTCGACATGGCATCGTCCCGCAGGCGCGCCATCTTCCGACGTACGCGTTGGTCGAGCGCTGCCCTCACCTGCTCACAGCTGAGCCGCTCGGGCCGCAGCTCCATCTCAATTTGCGAGACGGCGCGGTCATACGGGTTGCGCACGACGCAGAAGGTGCGGTTGGCTGGTGGAGCGTACGCTGGCGCCGGGGTCCCGTGGCTTGAAAACATGCTGGGTGGCATGTGCCACGGGCTGCACGGCTGCCACGTCCCGTCGCAGGCAGACGCATTGCAGCGCGGGCCCGCGGCGGGGCTCGCCGAGCAGAGGCGGCCCCACGGACAGTCGCCGCCGGGCCAGCCGCGGACATGACGGCCCCACTGGCGCCGCGCTCGAAGCGCGACGTCCTCGATGCTCGTGCCCGCCGTCTTTGGGATGTGGATGAAGGCGAGAGGCTCCACGAGACGGCTGCTCATCCCACTGGCGGCTGGGGACTTAAGGCGGGTTGGCGCAGTGCGCGGCGCAGAGCCAGCTGCCGCGACAGTGCCGTCGGTCGCCCACCGCCACCAGTAGTCGAGCGTGAGTCTGCGCGGCAGCACGGCCGGGTCGAGCAGGCGCGGGGCGAGCGCGGCGCGCCAATGTCGCAGCCGCTCCTCCGTGATCTGATGCGGCTCAAAGTCGTCCACAAAGGCAACAGGTAGCATGGCATATGCCTTGTCCAGTGCCGAGCGCTCCACGATTGGGATGGCACCCGCGGCAAGTGCCTCAAATGCCTTTGGCGCCGGATCCTGGCCGCCACCGTGCACGCAAAGTACAAAGGAGACGTCTCTCGCCATGGTGGCGAGCATGTCGGCGTGGCGCATGCGCTCACCCGGCTCTACGCACCGACCCCGACCGGCGCACGAAACCCTTCGCGGTCGGTGCACCAGATGCGCCCATGCACCGCCGGGCTTGCAATGGGCGCTCACCCGCTTGCGCAGGTCAAACTGAGATGAGTTGGTTGCGCTGGCCGAGCGGGCGCCGCGGTGGACGCAGAGCATCTTGAGCGGGCGGTGACGGAGTGGCGCCTGCGCGGCAGCGCGCACCGCCCCCCACAGCTCGCCGCAGACCGGCTCCTCGTACCGCGAGGCGCACTCCTTTGGGTTGAAGCCGAGCGGGAGCGGCACCATCTTTGGCGGGTGAGGTGCCACGAGGTTCTCGACGAGCCAGCGCTCCACGAGCGGGGAGCTGCAGAGGACTTGGATCGCGCGCTTCGTCTCTAGGCCGTGGGGCGCCAGCCTCGCGTTCACCTCGGTGGGCAAGGTGCAGTCCTCTGAGCCAGAGAAGAGCACGACGGGAGCAGTGAGCTGCGGCAGGATGCAGCTGGCGACGGCTGCCAGGACCGCAGCGCCGTCCTGGCTGCAGCCCCTCATCGATACAAAGATCGAACGTGGCGGCGAGCGCCTCTTGGCGAGGACAAACCCGCGCGCCTCGCACGGACCGGCCTGCCCAGACCGGTTCGAAGGGTCGGGAAGGAGCTGCCAGTCGCACATGGAGGCAAGGCCGACGATGCTCCGAAGCGGCGACGCGGGCACCTTTTCGATGCGCGTCGAATGCAGCGCCGGCTCGCCTCCTCGCGACCCGGGGAGCAGGCGGGCCATGCGTGCACATGCGGCAGCTGCGTGGTGAAGTCACGCACAAGTTGCAGAATTTTTCATTTCTCTCTCTCTCTCTCTCTCCCCCCCTCTCTCTCTCTCTCTCTCTCTCTCTCTCTCTCTCTCTCTCTCTCTCTCTCTCTCTCTCGCTCGCTCGCTCTCTCTCTCTCTCTCGCTCTCGCTCTCTCTCGCTCGCTCTCGCTCTCTCTCATACGTTGCCTTTCTTCTTGTTTGTCTCTCTTAATGTCCGGTGTGGCTCTTCCGACCAACGTACTCGAAGGTGGCCTGCCTGCCTGCTGACTTGGGCTGTCTGAGGTTTGCCTCTCGCACCCCGTCTGTTTTCCTTTTTTTCTCTTTTCTATTTTCCCGGGAAAACTCCGTGGAAATCGTCAAATTTTGGGCTCTGAGCCGAGTCTGAGGAGGCTGGTTAGGGCCCAAAAATCAGCCGATTTTAGGCCAAATCGGCAAAATGCCGGGATTTTGCGGAGAACCCGTGTATACCTGGAAATCACCCTGCACCGCCTGCCTGGGTATTTTGTCGATTCCCTCAATTTTGCCTCAGATTTTGCCCCAGACCAGCTCTCAGACTCAGGGAAATTCGCGAGTTTCCAGAATGGAGCACCAAACACCCTCTGTGCTCTGTTTTCCCTGGAAATTTCAACCCTTCGACGTGCCTTCTCTCGCCGGCGCGGCCACCGCCGAGCGCTGCTCGCTCTGGGTGCATGCGAGAGAGAGATTTTTATTAACCAACTTCTCTCTCTTCTCTCTCTTGTGCATGCGCGTGCGCCGCACTCGGCCTGGCTGCCACCTCGCGCGCCGCTCCGCGTCACAGTCAGGACACGGACACAAGGAGCACTTGAATTTGAACTGCGGTCATTCGCCTCCTCCACTTGGAGCACTTGGAGTGCAGTCAGTAACCTCACATCCAGGGCCGGCTCCAGGCCTCCGCAATTTATTCTCCGCAAAAACGCGAGGAAACACGAGCCCAAGCGTAACCGTATTGTGGAATGTCGCGCACGCAGGCCGACGCTAGCCACCAGCAGGGCTTGAGCAGCCGGCAGGGTGACAGCAGTCTCGAACAGCAGGGTCAAGCTTCTGAGGAGTGGCAAATGAGAAATCGGGAGGTGGAAGCGCTTCTGTGCGACTTCGTTTCTTCAATCCTATGCGAAAAGCCAGCAGATGTCTTCTCCTTTGCCCGCGACTACTTCCACGGAGAAACGATCAGGCACACCAAGAGCGCTACTAGAAGCACACCGATTGCTGCCGTTGCTGATGATTCGAGCGGCGAGGCTTGAATGGGGGACATGCGCTCGGCGTGGCGGATGGTGTTTTGTGTGCAGACCAGTCCTGTGCGTAAGACTCCTCCTGTGCCTAGTACGAGGAGAGTCCTGACACGCATGTGGTTCAGAAAAATGTTGTTGATTCCATCCCTACCTGGCTCACCGCCTGCCTTGCACCGATTCGCTCACACGCGCGACACACAGTGCTCAACCTCAAGGGCACGGCTCTCCAAGGTGCCGCTATTAGCACACTCTATCTCTTCGCAGACGTGGTCATTTGAGTGCTCAGCTTCTCCAGCAGCCCCCTGTTGATCTCGCGCTCAGCCTTTGAGATTTCAAAGGGCTCGAGCAGCTTGCGCCTAGAAGCAATCAATTCCGCTGTTGTGCGAGCCCCTTGGGCCGAGAGCAACCAACCTGAGAGCAGCCGCACTCTCGCTCCATCTTAATCTGCTCCTTGAGCTCGGCGGCATACGCCAGATTCTTGGCCTTGATCTGCTCTTTTCTCTGTTGCTCGCTCTCGTGGTACAGCCTCTCCTCCTGCCGCGCGTGCACGGAGAGCGACTCGTGCAACTTCTCGTCCTCCTGCTTCCGCATCTCCTTGTCGCGCAGCTGCATCCCGAGAGTATCGAGGCACTCTTTCTTCATCTTCTCGTGGATCGCCTTTTTTGCCGCTTCCTTGGCAATCGCGTCTGCGGCATCCTTCGCAATCCGCGCGTCGGCTCGCGCCTCATCCTCGCGCGCAATCCTCTCCTGCCGTTGCTGCATTGTCTCACCGCCCTCGGAGCCGCGTCCCGAGCCCACCTAGGTTTCGAGAGACCGCACCCTGACTTAGTCCCAACGCTTGCGGGTTGGATGGTTGGTCTGTGGCAGGTCGGCCAGGTCACACCTTCGCCAAGCGCTCCTCCTCTGCTCTCGCCCGCTGCAGCACCATCCGTTCCTCGCGTTCCTTCGCTTCCTGCTCCTTTTTGCGCAGGTAATCCTTCTCGCGCTGGATCTTGTCTTCAGCCAAGGCCTTGTTCTTTACGTTCTGGCTGATCACCGCCTCCATGTTGCGCTTCTCCTCCGCCTTGCGCGCAGCCTCCTTCTTGCGCTCCTCCTCCATCTCCCTCTGCACACCTTTGAGGAGGTTTATCTCATATTCGCGCTGCTGCGCAAGTTCGGTGTCCTTGGCCCTCTGCTTTTCCTCCAGCTGTAGCCCCAGCTGCTCCTTGACAGCTTGGTTACGCCCGACCACCGCGGCCTTCTTCTTCTGCTCGGCCTCCTGCCAGTCCTTGAGCTGCCTCTGCGACTCCTCTATCCAAGCACCATCCATCTTCTCCAGCTGCTCGCGTTCCTTCTTGAGCCTCACCTGTTCGTCCAGCGCTCGACGAGTCTCGCTCTTTCGCCGAAGCGCCTCGGCAGCATCTGCCTCGGCGCGCATCTTGCTCTCTTTGGCCTCGGCCAACGCGATCGCCGTGTACGGATCGAGGGGCGCGAGACCTTTTGCGGCCAGTATGCGCGATGTGGGAGGCAACTTGGCGTCCTCCATCCGGCGGAGCGCGAGCTTACCCTTGTAACCGCCCCCCTCGGGCGAGGGGAGAGAATAAGCTGGCTCGGCTTCCCGTTGGTTTCCCAAGGACGAAACGGCGGCGGGGCCGCGGCCAAAGAAGGCTAGGAGGGAGGTCGGGCCTCGCGCCCGCCGTACAACCATCGAGAAGCAAACAGGAGAACGGACCGAGCGGGAGGGGGAACCCCACCGGAGCCGGGGCAGGGAGACCGGGCGGAGGGGTTTTGATTGGTCGGACGCCGTCGCCAAGGGGGAGTGTGTGTCGTCGCGTGTCCTTGTCTGGTGTTTACTAGCTCCGAGTAGAGGGGGCGTTCTGCTGCTAGGGGAAACCTGGAGCGCGGTACTAGTAGCGTAGTAGGATGAGATTATGAAAAACGCCGGAATTCGGACGAGTACTCTCGCCTGCACAAATTCGATAAGTGGGACAAGGAGGGATGCGTCCCAGGGTCCTGGAGTTTCAGGCGTGCTTTCGCTCCGACTCCTCGGTGACCAAACGACGAGCTGGAGAGCTGGCGACCGAACGCTACCCGAGGCGGCTGGCGGCGATGGACGACCGAGCGGAGACGCAACGAATCGAGGAGCGGCTCCCGCAGGGAACCGACGAGTGGCTCGCGAGACCTCGGCTGTCGACGACTTCGCGAGGAACGATCACGCCGGTGGTGATACTGCAGCCGCTGTCCGCGCCGGTCGGCGACGTGGTGATGTACACCGGGCCGTTGCAGGCGATCGGCTGGCAGCGTCAACAGTGCGATAGCCAAGTATCGCACTGTTGGTATATATAGCAGGAGAAGGAGATGAGAAATATGAAAAACGCTGGAATTCGGGGGAGTACTCTCGCCTGCACAAATTTGATAAGTGGGACACGGAGGGGTGCGTCCAGCTGGCACCAATCATGGATACGAAGCGACGGGACCGGAGCTCCCGCCAAGGTGCAAGGAGGAGGCCGCGAGCGGCTCTGAGGGCGTGGACGCTCTGCGCCATTGTTTGCCATTGACAATTCTGAAAAACAAGAAGAACAATTCTGAAGAAGAGAGCCCCCACATGAGTTCGCGAAAGTTCCTCACACAGACCCCGTTGCGGCTCAAAAAGTCAGGAAGGGAGTACGTCATTTTGGCGGGGTCTTCATTTTTCTGCGTTATTTTAAATGAAATCCTGATTTGGCTCGTGCAGGAGCGCGCTAACCCTCGGAGAACCGTGTTTACTTTATGGCCCTTTCCCTGCGAACGCGCACCCCCCTAGGGGTCAGGGCTCTCTAGCCCGTAGCCCGATGCCGATCATCCGGCCCGCTGGGGACGCTTCTTAGCTCCCCGGCCCTGGATGTGAGGTGAATGACTGTACTCCAAGTGCTCCAAGTTTCCCACTCTGCTACTGACTGGTCCTTTCCCAGGCGAGGGCTGCCATCCGGGTATGCGAAGGCGTATTTCCCGCTCGGTTTGCTGTGCTCTCTTCGCCGTGTAGTAAAACTGGCGGACGAGTGCCGCCCTAGCGTCCTTGAAGATGGAGTCGACTCGGGCGTCCGGCGTCGCGTCACACTGCCTGGGCGGCTCGGGGCGCCAACTTGGCTTTCCTGTAACCGCCCGGGTTCACGCCCGACCACATCGCACATGCTTGGGCAACCCACGTCACCTACCTGCACCTGCGTTTGTGTGTCTGTGTGTGTCGCTAAAGGGAGCGGACCCTGAGTTGAGGAAATCGAGGGACGCGACCCACCTCGCCACAGACGGTCCCGCGCCTCGCCGCTAAGTTTGCGGCACGCCCCGCACCGTCCGCTGTGCCGCGTTTTTTGTCCGGAGTGAAAAGTCCAACGCGCTCGTCGGTGGCGGCTTCCCTCAACCTGCGCCGCGCTCGGCGAACCTCGACAGCGCTTTCGGTGGCATGCAGCTCTTTGCGACAGAAGCCTGGAGAACAGCTCCTCTGCTGCTCACACACTCTGCACAGTTGACACAGCCTACTGTGCGGCTGCCACAGCTGTCACAGCGATGGGCTCGCCCTCACTGGCCCTCAGTCACTTGTGCTGCGGCTTGTGTGAGCGACACTGCTCAGCGACTGCCGGCACACTGTGAGACCATGAGTGTGAGGTAAAACCACGCTACCAGCGCTTGGTCACATCGGCCCCGAGGTCAGATCCATCTACTCTGTTGATGACAAGACTTGTTTACTGGCTGGAGCCGAGCAGGAGGACCCAGCGCACAACCCCTGGTCAACTCAGGGTCCGCTCCCCGTATCTTCTGTCCAGCGTCCACCCCTGCGCCCTGGCATAGGCATGTCCAGAGGAGCCGGGGGGCGCCCCCCCCGAGGACTACTTTTATAGCATTTAGGTCATCCCGAAACAAACGAAAAGCCAAGCACGGGATGGAACATTGCTCTATCCCACCGATTCTTCATCCAGGGCTTTGCGCCGCTGGCGCCTGTCGTCCTCCTCAAAGCGGCTGAACAGCTCCGACAGCTCCTCTGACTCTGGCCCGAATGCGTCGGCCTCGCCACCTTCCACGCCGGCAGGGGCCGCCGAACGCTTCAAAAGGCAGAGCGAGTAGCCGCGATTCGATCGCACGCGGGGGCACGCGGCGGCGACTGCGTCGCCCCCTCCACGCCACGCCGCGCGTGCGATAGCGGGGAACTGCCTATGCGTGGTCTCTAGCACAAGAAAGAGAGTGCCCGCGGGCGCCCTCGCGAAGAGCTCCTCGAAGAAGACAAAATCGCTGTCGCGCAGCGCCACCGCATTCTCCGCGACGACGTAGGACGCGACGAAGAGGCGCGTGCCGCCGGCGAGCGCCTCCTCGACGAGCTCATTCGCCGGCGCGGCAAGCGGCAAGGTGATATCGCACCGCCCGAACGCCGCAGAGTGGCGCGGTGGGAGACGGAGGTGGGCGCGGTTGTGGCCGCCACGCGATCTGCCCTTGGGCGGTGCGGGCGGTGCGATATCACCTTGCCGCTCTATATATACGGCCCCCTCTATATATTCCGCGAAGCCGTTCCTGCCCAGTTCACTTGTGGCGGCGCAGTTTTTTCGATTTTCGCAGCTCCACTCGCGCCGAAGGGAGTGTTGAGCCGATTCTGTGATTGCGGCTGCGTGGTTGGTCGGCGGCCGTCGCGTTCGGTCGTCCCGTGCCGGCCTCGGCGTCGCGGCCCTCGCACACCCTGGGTTCGTCCGAATTCGAATCGCCGTTGTGGAGTACGGGCGCGGCAAAGTCGGCGCCTCGACAGCGCCTCGACGGCGGCCGCAAAAGCCGTATCCTGCACGTCGCCGCGCGGCCTCGAGGCGCCGCGAGCGTGCGCTGAGGTCAGCACGACTCGCTCCGGCCCGAGACGGCCGACGCGCGCGCTCTCGCTCCCACCTCTCCATCCCGACGCTCCGCGCTCGCTGTGTCGCCCGCGATCGCGGCATAACCACCGAGCCGCAGCGCGGCGCTCGGCCCGCGCCGCCGTCTCACGAGCTCGTCTCTCGCCCGCCGCGCAGGCGAAAACCAACTCCGTCCTCAAGGGCAAGCTCGAACGACTCTCGTCACTGTACCCGCCCTCGTGCCACGCTGCAGCCGCCGCTCTCGTCTCTCCTCTGTCGCTTCGCCGCGGTCGCGGCCGCACGGAGGTGCCACGGGCCGTGCGAGTGATACTCCGCTGCGTGCTGTCCGGCTCCATATACTGCGACTGGTGCGCCGCGGATGTTTGAGAGTGCGGTTTAAAAAGGTCTCCTGCCCCCACGGTGCGGAAATCATGAGAGGGGCAAAATCGCATCCTCCGCATGGCGGCCTATTTGACAGTCGTCCCGGCTCCGTCCAAGCCCCAATCGGGTCCTTTCATACCAGATCTGGGCCGAGTGAAGCCTGAGTGAGTAGGCACACGCCATGGGTGAGCACCGGGGCTCCGGCTCAGGTCGTGGGGCATAGCTCGGGTGTAAACAGGGTCTGGGGCGGGCGGCCCGCCGCAGGCGCCGCCGGAGGCTGGCCCGCCGCAGGCGCCGATTTTTTGGCGTTTTTTTTGCTCAAAATTGAGATATTTCTCATCAAATTCTCATCAAAATCGAGCTCGCTACGAGCTCTCTAACTGCACATCTCCTCGTTGAGCCTAGCGGCGCCCGTATCGCCCACGCCCACATTCTTCTTCTTCTTGCCCTTCTTGCCCTTGGCCCTTGCTGCACTTAGCCGCTCAACCTCCGCCACTGCCGCCGCCTCCGCCTCGCTGCCGCTCTGTAGAAGGGCGCGCGCCGCCGCACTGTAGCAGCCAGGCTCGAGGGGCGTGCCGCGCGCTTCCGCCTCGCGCAGCAGCCGCAGCGCGGCGTCGCCGCGGCCGGCCCGCTCGCACGCGCCGAGGGCCGCGTTGAGTGCGGCGGTGTCGGGCGGGATGCGGCGCTCCTCGACCATCTCCCGGTAGAGCTCGAGCGCCGCGTCGCAATCCGCCGCCCGCCCGCACGCCGCGATGGCGGATGTGTAGCAGTACAGGTCCGCCGACGCGCCTCGCGCCTCGAGCGCCGCTCGCGCGCCGACAGCGTCGGTGCAGCCTCGGATGGCGGCGGCGGACGTCGCCGCGCCGCCGCCGCCGCCTCGATCGGCGACGCGGCTGGGCGCGAGCGAAGGGTGGGGCGGCGCGGGACCGGCCGCCGGCCGCTCAAAGACGCAGAGCCAGCGCGCAAACGCGCCCGAGCCTGCGCCCGCGCGCGGGAGGCCGCGCGAGCCGGCGCGTCGCGACTTGCGCGTGTGGAATCGCTGCCGGCGGGCGAGGAGGGTGGTCAGGCCGTGGGCGCCGCCCCGCCGCGCGAGGAGCTCCTCAAAGGGAAGCTCCGCCTGCTCACAGACACTCTGGTGCACCGCTGGCTCGTCCCTCGGCCGCCCCTCTCCACAGCGCGGCCCCGCCTCCTCCCCGCGCGCCGGGAGGAAGAGGGCGAGGCGTCCGCCCGGACGGAGCAGGCTGCCAGAGAGGGAGAGCAGCGCGCGGGAGAGGTCGGACGGCACCGACTGCTGCCACGTGCTGCCCACCCCCTCGCGCAGGACCGGCGCCCGCATCCCGTACGGCGGGTCGCACACGACCGCGTCGTACGTCCCCGCAGCCTCGGGGCCGAGGAGAGGCCCGGCAGGAGACAGCACGTCGCCGCAGCCGAAAGTGGGCTCGCCGAGCGCCAGCGCCGCAAAGTCGTCCGCCGCGTGCGCGAACGCCGACGCGTTGCGGTCGGCTCCCACGGCGGTGGCGCCCAAGGCCGCCGCGCACACGAGGAGGCCGCCTGTGAGGAAAGTGCCGAGAAGGTGCCAAGAAGGCTCCGAGGAGAGCAGGGCTGCAGGCGAGGAGGCGGCCTCCTCCGCAGCACGGATCGAGCACGCGGCTCCCTCGCCTACGGGACGAGCTCGGAGAAGCTCCCGAGAGGGCTCCTCGAGGCGCGGCTCGTGCGGTGCCCTCCCTCGCCGGGCGCGCGCCAGGTTGGCGAGCAGGAAGCCTACGGGCAGGCTCATGGGAGGAGGCTCGCGCGAGACCGGTCCGGCGGTGTCGGCGAGGCCGCGGCGAGGAGGAGGAGGCCGAGCTCGGGCTCGATCGCCGTGGCGGCGTTGTGCCGCCTCTTGCGCAGGGCGTACCTGCCGAGCAGCCTAACGGGACGCGTCTCGGACACGTCGTGGACGTGTCTCCCCGGGCAGCGGCTCGGGACGCGGCGGCCGAGCGACCCACTCGACGGGCGCCGGAGGGAGCGGCCGGGCGCTCCACGGCTCGCGGCGACGCCGGTCGCGGAGCGCCACCCAAAGTGGTGCGGCGAGAGAGGCCCATCCTCGCGGAGCAGCACCCACTCGCGCCGCGGAGGCGACGCCGCCGCGGTAGCAGCCTCGCCGCCCGGTCCCCACCCGCGGGAAAAGTCAGCGAGAGCGGCCGCGCGGGCGTCGGCTCGCAGATTCGGCTCGGCCAGGTCGATTAGCTCGAGAGCCGGCATATGCTGCTGCTGCTGCTGCTGCTGCTGCTGCTGCTGCTGCTGCTCCTGCTGCACCTGCCAAGCCACTGCAGCGGCGCCGGCCGCCTCGGCGCAGCCCGCGGTGGCGGCAACCTCAAATACCCCGTGGAGGAGCACGCTTCGCGCCGCGGCGTCAGCGAGGGCCGTCCGCGACGCCTCCGTCTGCACCTCGGCCCAGCACAGTGATTGGTCGGGGCTGCCCTCGGCCAGGCGCACGGCGTCCGGCGGCAGCAGCGCCGACAGCTCGTGACGTGGAAGGTCAAAGGGCCCGTCAAAGCCATAGGTGTGCCGCGAGCGGCCGCGCCACAGGATCAGCGTGCGCGACGGCGGAGCCAGCACCACTCCGAGCGATGGTGTGAGCAGTGCAAGAATTGGCAGGCACCTGACCATTCCTCTATGCGGCAGCGGCGGAGGGAGGAGAGCGGCTAAGAGGCTGAGAGAGAGGCTCAGAGGTCCTGGCACTGCTGCGGCGCGGCGGTCTCTTTGCGGGCTCGTCGGAAGGCGATGTACACCTCCCTCACCTGGCGACAGTCGAGCGACCTAGCTGTAGCTCGCGCGCCTCCAGCCTCTGCCGCGAGACCTCGTGACGCGGCCAGCCCTGCTTGTTGGTGCTTGGTAGGTTTTTGCGTGGTAATTGCTAATTTATAATTTATCTTTAAACTTTGCTCACTTCCAGACCCCTCTCTTGTTGTTCACATACCTTGTTATGGAGAAGAAAACAACTCCTACATGTATGGTGCTGCGCGCTGGTCTATGAGAGGTTGAGGTGCGAGCCCTGGCCCTGGGGATGGATGGGGGGAGCTTCACACCACCACCTGTGAGTGTCCCGGCTCTCGTTGGCGGTGCTGGAGGCTGAGCACTGCGCGCGCAGCCGTCTGCCGCTCTTGGCCAGGCCGACACACACACACACACACACTTCTGGGGGAGAGAGATTTTTAAAGACCAACAAGAAATCACGACTCTCACAGTGATTTGGGCTCGGCAGCTTGTTAGCCCTCAGCCGAAGCTGGGGCCGGTCCCGTAGCCGAGAGAGCCCGCGCCGATGAGTTCGACGCGGTCGGGGGGGCCTGCGAAGAGGCCAGCGAGATGGCGATCGCTGTACTTCATGGTGTCATCAAGTGACCGGCTGACAAGCCAGAGGTCGATACTCTGGGCGACCCATCGGATGCCACGAATGCCTGAAGGAGAGGGAGGCGAGGCCAGAGGCAGGCTCAGCTGCTCTCGGGTGATCCCGCTTTGGAGGCTGAAGGACCCGATGGTCCTGTCACATTCGTTCGTGGGGTCGCGGGGGTAGAAGAATTCGAGGTAGAATCGAGTCAGCACATCCTTGTAGTACAGCGGACCGCCAGGCTCGCCGGCAGCATCCGCAGGGAGGCAGCATATGAGGCACCAGTCTTCTGCGAAGAGCTCAACAGCTGCGGCCGCGATGGCAGAGTCGGCCGCGGTTCGAGCGAGCAGCTTTTGGCTGCGGGATCGAATCGCGGAAGGCTCATGCCCTCGCGGAGCGCGCGGGTGTGCGAAATGCGACAAAAGACGAAAGACGACAGGCGCCTGAGCGCTGTACGACTGAACTTTTGTCGCCGCAATCGCCACCGCCGCCATCTTGACGAGCAGCGCGAGCGCGCTCGTCGGCGGCCAGCCGTCGCGGGCCGGGCCGAGCCCGGCCTCAACCGGCCGCGCCGCCGCAGCGGGCCCGGAGGCCCACATGGCGGCAGACCAGCTGATAAGCAGTCTTCTCTCACTTCTGGTGCCGAGGCTGCAAAAAAAAGAAAGAAAACACGCACTTCAAACGAGGGATGGGACGAGGACAGGGTCCCCACCTGCACGAGCAGGATTTTGGAAGAACGAGGCTGCAGCCGCAGCGAGGCGCGCCGCCTCGGTTTCTTAAAGAGAGGAGATGCAGCTAATGAAACACGGGGCGAATCCCAGCGCCACAATACGATGGACGCTGTGGCTGAGAGCGCTACGATGAACTCTAGCGCTGTGGCTGAGAGCGCGATCGCCATGGACCAGGTCTTGACGTTTGTATTTCTCTGCCTCGCCATGTGCTGGTCGACCGCGTTTGTCAAGCGTTCGTACTCCAGGAAGCAGGCTGCGACGGAGGCTGTGCCTGCGGTGCGCGAGGAAACGCCGACGACTGAGGCTGCGATGGCAGCTCCCGATCCGCCCGAAGAGATACCGACCAAGCCAGCAGTGCTAGTGACGCCGACGCCGACGCCGCACCCAGTTGACCAGTTCGTAATGGCGGTCCACAGGATCCTCGGCTGCGGAGCGTGAGAGGTGTACGATGCTGTGCGGGGTGCTGATGGCGAGTATGACGAATTTGGCGGGGTGCCGGTGTGGCAGTGGACGTGCGGCGGTGCGGCGGTGCGACTCTCGTGTGTGTGTCTGTGCGGTGCAGCGGCACGAGCCGCGTTCTGACAGTCTTCTGTACTTCTGTTCGTGGCGGCCGCACCGGCACAGACATCAGCGCGCGCGAACGATACGTGTACACCGCGATCGAGCCGGCGCTCTTGTTAAAATGCGTCGTTAATACGGACCGGAGACTCAGAGACAGATGGGAGATTGTGAGCCCCTAGAATAACTCCCACGTCACGGTCGCCAGGGGCCAACGGAATACTTTCCGAGGGCCGGCGGGCCGCGACCCTCCCCCTTCGCAAAACCCGAGCGCGACTCACTCGAGCGTCTTGAGGAGGCGGAAGAGGCCGGCGGCTTCGCGTATGTGCGAGAACTCGATGCAGAACGCCTGCACCTCGATGAAGAGGTCCTGAACGTTGATGATCTTGTTCCTGATGAGAGACTGCAAGAAGACGCAGACCAGCCGTACCAGCCGGTTCTGCATGTACCGGTCCTTGATGGACTCGCAGGACGAGATGCAGTTGGAGATGTAGAGGTGTACGAACTCGGTGGGCAGGTCGACGGCGGTGGTCAGCCGGTTCACGACCTGTGCGCACGCGAAAATGGGGAAGATGGTCGGAGGCGGCGGGCAAGGGTCGGAGGCGCGGGCAAGAGGGTCGGAAGCGGCGGCGGGGCTTCGGCGGTCGGAACTCGTCGCCGGGTGAGGCATGGCGGGCGCGGCGCGCGCGCCTCCATCGAGTGGAGCGAGATGTCCATGTTGACCAGCACCGAGAAGTAGTCTGTGAGCTGCGACGAGGACATGAGCTTGAGCAGCACCTCGATGGCGATGACGGGGTTGTTCTCGACGAGGTCGGGCAGCCGCTTGGGCGTGAGCCCGCAGTGGTACACGAGCTTGGCGTCGCCCTCCAGCTCGGCGAGCACCTGCTGCTGCTGCACCGGAACGAGCGGCCCCCGGAACGCCTTGCCCATCAGCTCACGCACCTGCCGCGCAGCCGTGCAGCGGTGAGCCGAGCCGCGCGCTCTCCTCTTCCGGCGCTGGCCGAGGCGGTGGAGGTGCAGAGCGCAGTGCACTCGAGGCGCCGTCCGGGGAGGCGGGGTGCACCGGTGTCGAGACGTGTCGCGGTGGGGCGGCGGGAGCGTGGGGGGCGGGCTCGGTGCGGCTGCTGCAGCAGCGGGCCGGCGGCGCTCCGCACCTCTGCGCCCTTGAGGTTGTCGGCGCACATCGAGTGGTCCCACAGCAGAGAGAAGGAGCCCTCGGGCTGCGGGTACAGCCAGAGCGCCTCGTCCTCGCGCGAGTCGAGCATCGGCGGGGGCGGCCGCAGCAGCGGAGGCCCGAGCCGGAGCAGGTTGAGCCTCTCGTCCAGCTCCAGCCCCTCCCCGCCCGCCGAGCCGGAGCTCGACGCGGCGCCGTCGCCGCCCGCCGCCGGCTCGGCCTGCTGCCCCTGCGCCCCGGTCAGCGGGGGCGCGACGCTGCACGTCTCGCCGTCGGGGACCAGCGGGCTGATGCCCACCCGTACAACCTCAGGCACGCGGGCGTCCCGCTCGGCGTATGTGGCCCTGCGCGCAGAGAGGGGGGGGTTGGGCGGCGCGGCGTCGGAGAGGCTGGGGGAGAGGGGGAGGCGGGGGGGAGGCGGAGGCGCGAGGCGAGCGGGGGGGTTCCAGGGGGCGCGGCGCCTCAGCGCGTCGAGGTCCGGCAGCGGCGGCGGCGGCACTGCACCTGCACCCCACGCTGCGCAAAGCTCTGCGGGCGAGCGCTGGGGCAGCTCCCTCGGCGGCGTGGCTGATAGCAGCGCGCAGAGCAGGTGCCTCTCGTGAGCACTCGCCTCCCCCTCGCCGCCGCTGCCGCTCGAGGCGTGCGTCGCGGCGCAGCGGCCGACGAGGAATGGCATAAAGGGGTGCACCCCTGGCGCCTCGCTCTTATACAGGCTGTGCAGAATGTACAGCGCGGCCAATGTATGCCGCGGCGGCAGCATGCCGTCCTCTAGCAGCATGCAGAGCGCCGCGCCCACCCGGAAGCAGTCGGCGCGCGCAAAGGCGCGGCCGAATGCAGCAGCTGCTGACTCGAGAGGCTCGGTCTCTGCGGACAGCACAGTTAGCAGCGCCGCCGCCTCATGCTGCGTGAGCATCGCCGCGCGAGCGCGCCCCCCGCACGCCTCGCTGCGGCTGCAGCCTCGGCGCCAGAAGGTGTGTCGGCCTGGCCAAGAGCGGCAGGCGGCTGCGCGCGCAGTGCTCAGCCTCCAGCACCGCCAACGAGAGCCGGGACACTCACAGGTGGTGGTGTGAAGCTCCCCCCATCCATCCCCAGGGCCAGGGCTCGCACCGCAACCTCTCATAGACCAGCGCGCAGCACCGCTTGTTTTCTTCTCCAGAAAAGGTCTGTGAACAACATAGAGAGTGGTCTGGAAGTGAGCAAACCAATTTAAAGATAAATTATAAATTATCAATTACCACGCAAAAACCTACCAAGCACCAACAAGCAGGGCTGGCCGCGTCACGAGGTCTCGCGGCAGAGGCTGGAGGCGCGCGAGCTACAGCTAGGTCGCTCGACTGTCGCCAGGTGAGGGAGGTGTACATCGCCTTCCGACGAGCCCGCAAAGAGACCGCCGCGCCGCAGCAGTGCCAGGACCTCTGAGCCTCTCTCTCAGCCTCTTAGCCGCTCTCCCTGCGCGGCCCGCACACTCGTGACGCCTTAGAGCGCTGCCACCGCCTCCACCTCGAGCAGGAGCCCGAAGTGCAGCTCGGGAACGGGGACCACGCAACGCGCAGGTCTGTGCGCACCCAGCTTGTTTGCGTACATCTCGTTGAACAATCCCCAGTTTTTCACGTCCGTGATGTAGACGCGGACCTGGATGAGGCGGTCGAGGCCGCTGCCAGCCTCGTGCAGAATCGCCTCGAGATTTCTCAGCACCTGAGTCGCCTGCGCCTCGAACGTGTTTCCCGACAGCTTGGTCCCATCGGGCATGATAGGCAAGAGACCAGACACAAAGACCTCGCCTCCATTCTTGACGGCCTGCGAGTAGTGCCCGGCCGCCGGCGAGGCGTGCGAAGTCGACACGGGCTCGAGGCGCGGCCGCTTGCGCGCGCCGGCCGACAGGAAGTAGTGTGCCGCCGCAGCCCCTACGGCACCGGCGAAAACGGCGGAGGCGAGGTTCGACATTCCTGGGGAGGAGTCGACCCTCCACCGTTGTGCAAGCGAGCGCCCCTTTCCTTTTTTGTCGTTCTCAGGCGAGTAATTCTTTTGCTGTCAAAGGTCATGTGAGAGAGTGCGTTGTGTTCTTGTGTCGTGACCACTTTCTCTTTTGCGGTGGCGGGCGACGCCGAGAACTTCAACAAGCAGGCGCGCAATACGCGTTTGAGAGAGAGAAATTTTTAGCAATACCTTACAACTCTAACACTCACACGTCATGTGGGGCCTGGAGCCCTGGCATTTAAAGGCTGTTGGAAAACAGAACGCCCTGTTCACGCGCGCGCAAGACGTGCAGACAGGGTTGCCAGGTGAGGGCGAATGGCGCGGTTCCACACCTCGCACAACAGAGAGAGAGATGCGCTCTGCATGGTGGGACATAAAAGAGAGCGAGTACTTGGGCGAGTAGGCCGTGCGGTCGACGCTGCCGCGCGCGACTTTGCGCGCGAGGCGGCGCAGCTTGAGAACGGCGGTGGGCGAGAAGCCGCCGCCGAACGTCTCCGTGGAGCAGCAGGTTGAAGTTGTTGCGCTTGACAAAGATCGCGTCGTGGTAGAAACCGCGATGCGCCTTGACGTAGCCGTGGCCGTTCTTGTGGTCGAAGAATTGGCCGGGCTGCCCGCGCGCCTTGCAGCCCATGTTTAGGCGGCGGGCCTTCTCTTCGGTGTTGCCGAAGGCGTAGGAGTGGCCAACGGAGGCGGGCGTGCCGCCACTCGAGGCGTTGCCAACGCCCGTCGAGGAGGTCTTGAGGAGGGGCGTCCAGAGATTGATTTCATTTACTTCATCGCATCCTCCCGGCCCAGCGTGGGGTTCTGCGAGGTCGACCTTGTACCCCTCTCGTTGTACTGCCGGGTGAGCTCTGGTTTCTCCTTGTCACCGTTTGTTTTGTACGCGTGCCGACTGGGTCAAATCGCCTGGGCGTGCCAAATGGGTCAACGACGTCAACAACAAGCAAGCGGCAGACGTCCTCTTAGCCTCGGCCCCAGTGGGGGGTGCCCGCGCCGCCTAGCTCTGCGGACGGGCCCCTCCACCCTTCACGTACGGATCATGTAGTCCCCACACTCGCTGTCGTGGGATCGCTTGTCTCTCATGTGAGAGAGTGCGGGTGAACCTCTGTTGTACTAGGCTAGGATTGAGAGCAGCCTCGCTCTCAATCCTAGAAGTCGAAGGATTGGAATCAGGCAGAGAGGACGAGACGGCGACGGGGCCGCGGCCGAAGAAGGAGGGGAAGGCGGACGAGCGCAGCCGCTGCCCAACCAGCGGAAAGCGAGCCGGGAGGAGGACCGGGAGGAGAGGGGAGCCCCTCCGAGTCGAGGGTGGGGAAGCCGAACGGAGGGGCCCTGAGGGGTGACGTCGAGTGAGGATGTACGTCGTGTGCGTGTCTGGTGTTTCTTAGCTCCGAGTAGTAAGAGGGGGCGCTCCGCCGCTAGGGGAAACCCAAAGCGCAGACTAACCCTCGGAGACCCGTGTTTACTTTACGGCCCTTTCCCTGCGAACGCGCACCCCCCAGGGCTAGGGCTCTCTTGCCCGCACCCGATATCGATCATCCGGCCCGCTGGGTGCGCTTCTTAGCTCCCCGGCCCTGGATGTGAGGTTAATGACTGCACTCCAAGTGCTCCAAGATTGTGAGCAGCACTCCTCGCAATCGTAGCATCTCTGTGCGATTGTGAGCGCCTACGCTCGCAATCCTACATTTTCTAGGACTAAGAGCAGCTCTCCTTTTTACCCATCTCACAGTAGAGAGGTGTCCGTTTTTATTTATTTATTTATGCTCCCAAGATGATGTGGGGACGCCTACGACTACTACCAGCGCGCTCACAATCCGAGCAAAGTCTAGGATTGCGAGCAGCACTGCTCACAATCCCCTAGCAACATGCCTCTGATTGCGAGCAGTAGCTCTCGCCTAGAAGTCGTAGGACTGTGTGGGCGGGTGTCGCTCGCAATCGGCGAAAGTTCTAGGATTGCGAGCGCTTCTGCTCGCAATCGGAAGCTTGTCGCTTAGGATTGTGAGCAGTGCTGCTCGCAATCCTAGACTTTGCTCGGATTGCGAGCGCGCTGGTAGTAGTCGTAGGCGTCACCAGTCATCTTGGGAGCGGAGAGCTGCTCTTAGACTTAGTCCTAGAAGATGTAGGATTGCGAGCGAGGCGCTCACAATCGCACAGAGATGCTACGGTTGCGAGGAGTGCTGCTCGCAATCCTTCGACTTCTAGGATTGAGAGCGAGGCTGCTCTCAATCCTAGCCTAGTACAAAAGAAGGTTCACCGAGAGTGCGTTGTGCGACCTCCGTCCGTTTTCTCTTTGCGCGTGCCCAGTGTCGTGCGAGGGAGCACTTGGAGCACTTGGAGTGCAGTCATTAACTTATTGCAGTTAGTTAGTTAGTACAAAGGTGAAGAACAGCCAGGCTCGGACTGGACATCCAGGGCCGGGGAAAAAAGAAAGAAAGAAAACAGACAACCCAAGGGAGGGATGGGAGGACGGCACGCCGCCACCACACAGCTCACAGGGATTTTAAAGAGAGGGGTGTGGTGCTAGCCGTCGCCCACCCTATCCCTTATGGTCGTCTGCGCCTCTTTCTATCTCCCTTCGCAGTCCCTCGCCGATTCTCGCTGCAACCTTCATGCCACCTCGCGGTCGTCCCACTCTCGTCGTTCTCCCCTCCCTGTCGCTTCCCCTCCTCTGTCGCGTCGTTCTCGTCTGCCTCGTCCTGCGACGCCGCCGCCGCCTGCCGCTCCCTTGCTCTCGCGGCTTCTCTCTCCTTTCGTCGCAGCTCTGCTCTCCTCGCGGCATATTTTGGCCCCTCGAGTTTATCGAGCTCTCCTCGCGCAAGGGGCCGGGGAGCCTGGCCAAGAGCATGTAAAACCTATCTGGATATCCGCGCAAAATTCTCTTTTCGCGCCATTGCGGGCCATTGCGGGCCATTGCGACGTCCCTCCTCGCCTTCACCGCCAACAGAGCGGGGCCGAAGATCCTTCATGTTTTTCGCGTACGACCTCGCGATCTACACGGCCGTGCGGCGCCGTGAGGCGGAGAATGCGCTCAAGCAGGCGCGCATCCTCTACGCGGCCGGGCGAGACACCGAGGCGATGCGTCTAGTGCAGCGCAGCCTAAGCTTCCATGCGACTCGCGAGGCGGAGCGCTTCAAGGGGCAGCTGAGAGGGCACACGAATTCGTCTGGTGCAAAGGCGATTAGAGCTGTCCTGCGGCTTGGCGTCAACGAGCCTCACAGCACGCTCGGGATCCCGCGCGGGGCTGACGTGGCTGCAGTGCAGCGAGCGTGCGATCGCCGTCTCAGTGTGCTCAGCTTCCCGTGCACGTCCATACCCTCCCCGGTGTACTCGTAGGTACTTGGCGTTGGCGAGGCAGCTGCATCCGGATCGTAACCAATCTCCGGGCGCCGAGGAGGCCTTCAAGCGCCTCACCAACGCAAAGGAGCGCGCAATCTGCTGCCCTGCCGTATGTGTGTGCGTGGGTGCCCGAGGCACCGCACCGTCCCTGTTAGGATGTTCTCACCGACGAAGCGCGCCGCGCGGAGGTTGGCGCGGAGCTTGGCGCGTCTGCCGAGGCGACGCCTCCTCGGTGGCAGGACCCAGCGCCTCGCGTAAGCGGCGAATGGGCAGCCGACGGGGAGGACTCCGCGGGGAGTGCATCCGAGGATGGTGAAATGGGCGCCAGCCCGCCTCCGCCGCAGGAGCCGCCATCGCCGCTGAGCGGCCCTCCCCACGGAACAGTGCGAGGCGGGGGCAGGTTTGCCGGAGCAACTGGCCGCGGGGCGAGCCGATCAGCAAGTGACAATCCCAAGACGAGGGCGGTGATTCGTAAGGGCGGCCGGGGTCGAGGGCAGGCAGCCCCCACGCAGCCAGACTGACGAGATGGAGCATTTGTCTCTCTGCCCCGTGCGATGTCTGATTGTGTCTTAGCCTTGTTGAGTTGTTTTGCTGCGTGATGCTGTGCGTGCACCACACACGATCACGAACACAGTGTCTTGTGTAAATGAGAGAGAGGGTGAGAGAGGCCAAGAGCACACCTTGGTCATTCCTCATTCCCGTCAGCTCACATTGCGTGGCGGCAAGACAATGCAAAAACTCCCATCTTTATCTAAAATGCTGATTGCTGTAACTATATATGTGTGTGCTATATATAGCCTATATAGATAACGAAGAACCACACCCGTCACCCCAGCCCGCCGTGCGCCGAGAGGTCGTGTGGTTCACCCAAAACTGCACATAAATAAATAAATAAAAACGGACACCTCTCTACTGTGAGATGGGTAAAAACGAAAAACTGCACATGCCACTCGGGCCCACACACATGTGCGCACACAAACGAGATGTCTCTCCGCTCGAGTACAGTATCTCCCGAGCGCGAGATTTTACGCTGGCGCCGCCGATTGTGGCCGCGCCGCTCCGCGGCCGCCTCCGCCCGCACCCCGCGCTTGTGCTGCCGCTGCCGCTGGCTGCCTGGCAGTGGTCGAGCTCATCAGGGAGGCGAGCCGCGACTTGAACTGCGGGCTCGCTGGCGTGTTGCCCGCCGTCCCCTGAAAATCACCACCACAGACTCGCGCGCGTGCGCTCGTCGGCCGAGCTGCGACCGCGGACTGAATGATCTGCGCCTGCTCCGCCGTTGCGTGCTCGGACGGCCGCCGAGCGCGCGGCGCCCGCGGCGGTTCGCACGTCGCCCGGGCAGTGGACGGGCGAGCCTTTTGGACGCGAAGCCACGGATGACTGCGCACCTGCTCGATGGTCATGCGCTGCGCCGCGTTTTTGCGAAGCATCCGCGTGAGGAGGTCGCGGCAGTCGTTCGAGAGGCCGTCGGGGAGCTGCAGCTGTGCGCCCGAGATGTTGCGCTTGAGCTCGGCGATGCTCTTGCCCCAAAAGGGGAACTGAGTGCCGGGCCGCTTGCCGTGGACGAGCAGCGTGTGCAGTAGCACTCCAAGGGACCACACGTCGGCCGGCGCGGCCTTGTGTGGTGCGCCAGCGTGGCACTCAGGCGCCATGTAGGCGGGCGTCCCCTGCACCGACCGCGTGATGGTGTCCGCCCCTTCGCGCGCCGCGCCAAAGTCGCAAATCTTGGCCGCGCCCCTGGCGTCGAGGACCACGTTCTCGAGCTTCAGGTCGCGGTGCGCGATGTTCTTGCCGTGCAGGTAGCCGACTCCCTCCACGATCTGCGCAAAGATGGCGCGCGCCTCCGGTTCACTCAGTCCGCGCCGCGCCGCCATGTACTCGCCAAGGTTCCCGCCCGGGGCGTACTCCATCTCGAGCTCGGTCCGGCCCTTGCGATGCACGGCGCGGCGCGGCGCGATTATGTTGCCGTGAGCCAACTTGCCCGCAAGGCGCGCCTCGTTGCGCAGATGATGGGCGACATAGTCGTGCTCCTCCGCCTCGCGGTGGTCGTAGACCTTGACCGCCATCGGCTGACCCACCGAGTCGGACTCGAGGCGCACCCGTGCAAAGACGCCCTTCCCGAGGAGCTCTGGCGACGAATCGCACCGTCTCTTTCCCTGCAGTGCTCGCCCCGTCGGGCCGCGGCCTGGCGAGGCAGAGGGGCGTGGCGGAGGCTCCTGTGGCTGTGCGTCGGCGGCTGCATCGGGAGCCGGCGGCTCAGGTGGAGTCGGAGGCGGTTGCGGCGGTGGAGGCGACTGCGGCGGCGCTTGCGGCGGTGGCGGCGGTGATGGCGGCGGTGCAGCGGCAGCTGTTGCGGATGACGTTGAATGCGGCGGTGGCGGCGACGATGCTGGAGGGCGAGGTGGCCTGCGTTTGGGCAATGGCGGTTGACGAGGTGCCACCTGAGGCGGCTGCGACTGTCGGGCCGCCCGAGCACTGGTGGGCCGGCGGACTTCTCTCTGTGCGACTCCACTGCGCCGGGGCGCCCCTTTGGCCACCGAATCAATGCTGGTGGTTTCCTTTGTCCGAAGGATACGCTCGTCAACGCCTTTTCGCGTCGAGACGACGGTGTGGAAAGCCGAGACAGCCGTCGACTGGCTCCGCTGTGGAGCCGACTGTGGGCGGTACCCACTCGCACCGCCCTGAATCGCCGAGCCAAAGACACTTGAGTGGCGGGATGGCGCAGCTAAGCCGGCAACGCGGCTCGTGCTGCGTGACATGGAAACGAGACGTTTCGGGGCGTTGCCAACGCTACACATCACGCATTTCGTCTAGGAATCTCTTTTCTTTTGGGGGGGCTAGGGCCGATTCCGCATACGGGACCCCTCGATCCCCTCACTCACTGGTGTGTTCATTTTGGGGGGGGGGGGGGGCATAACAAACACGGTACAGGATCGAGGTGCACGCTCGCTGGACGCTGCCGAACGAAGAGAGCAGTGACCAGTGTCTAGAGCACCAGTGTGTGTCGTCCCCCGTCTCCATCAAGCATCATCTCACACACAAGGAGACGTCGGCGGTGATGGCGGTGTGACCGATCGTGCGATCGAGCTACAAGTAACTCGATAGGAGCGAACTTGTTCCGCACAGCCGATGTGTGTGCATGATCCAGCACCAGAGGGGGCCGGGTAGTGGGGGCGGAGGAGCAGTACCTCACCGTTCCTCAATCTGATTAACTTATGACCATCATAGGTCCTTCAAAAAGAAGACAACAAGACACGGGAAGGAATTTCGCCAAGGATAGCTGAGTCCTAATATAACTGTTGGAGAGGGTGGGCCCGCTCTCGCCCGACCGCCCTCGCACCAGCTTCGATCGCGGGGTGGGCACATGCGCATCACTGATCACCCTCCACATCCTCCCGCCCCGAGCCGGCGCTCTCCAGCCCCGTCTCGCTCTGGGACGGTGAGTCCACCTCGCTCGGGCCCGAGGCGCCGCCCACCTCAGCCGTTGGCGAGGCGGCACCTTCCTCACCGCCCACTCCCTCCGGCCCACTCTCCCGCGCCGGAGGTTCGCGCATCCTCTCGGGCCCCACGCGCCGCTCAACGCGACCGTCGCCAAAGTCGACATCGAAGGTGCCACGGTTGTGGCGCGTGACAACGCCGAGCAAATAGCGCCCCGTGCCCGCCTCCCGCACCTCGACGCTATGCCCCTCGCTCCATGTCGGTTCCTCCGTCCGGATCAGCGGCCGCTTCACGGCATCCTCCGTGTCCCCGTCGTCGTACTTGATGGCATATGTGTCGTCGCCGTTATCGCGTGTGATCACGCCCGGGTAGTACTTCGCGCCGCCACCGTACTTTGCCGCAACCTTCATGCCCGTGCGCAAGGGCGTGAAGCGGCGCCCGGCAGCGGCAGCCGCAGCGGCAGCGGAGGCGGCGGCAGCGGCGGCGGGGTGAAGCGCGGCCCCTTGCGACGGCCGCGGCTGTCGAGGCGGTTTCGGCGGGTGGCCTTCGGCTACCGCCTTTGCGTCTCCGAGCCTGCTGTAGCATGTGCGATCGGGTGCGACGATCTTGTAGTGCGAGTCCGGCGTGCGGAAGGCGAGCCAGCCGGGCGGCAGACCCTTTGCGGCAGCCAGCTTCTCCGCCGCCGCGCGGCGCGCTGGATTCGCGTCGTCGTAAGCGCTGCCAACGGACGACGGCGGCCGCGATGCGCCGGACTCGGGATCGTCTCGCCGCTGCCGCTTCGCCGGCTGCTCGGCCTCCCCTCGCTCGGCGCTGCCCTCGGGGCTGTTTGCTTGGCTCGGCTCTGTCGGCTCCGTCGCATCTGCGGATTCCGCCTCCTCCATCGCCTGGTCACCCTCCTCCTCCTCCTCCTCCTGACTTGCCTCCACCTCAGCGTCCTCCTCCACCTCAGCCTCCTCCTCCTCCTCCTCCTCCTCCTCCGCCGCCGCCGCCGCTGCCGCCGCCGCCGCCGTCTCCTCCGCCCCCTCCGCCCCCTCCGCCGCCTCCGCCGCCTCCCCGAACTCCACGTTCTCCCCCGCTGCATCCACCTTCTCCTCCGCCGCCGCCTCCACCTCCCTCTCCTCCGCCGACTCCACCCTCTCCTCCGCCTCCGAAAGATACCCCTCCGCCGCCTCGTTCCTCTCCTGCTTCACCGCAGCCTCAAACTTCTCCACCTTCTCCTCCTTCACCGCCGCATCCGCCCGCTGAGCCTCCTCCTTGACCGCACTCTCCGCCTCCATCGCCGCAGCCGCTCCCCCTGCCTCCTCCTGCTTTGCCGCCGCCGCCCGCCCGCCGCCCGCCCGCTGCGGCGAGGTGGAGCTCTGCACCTTTGCCGCCGGCCGGTGGTCGGCCGTGGTGCGCGACGACGTGGCCGCGGCCGGCTCTGCGGGGAGGAGCTTCCACTCCATCGGATCGAGGCCGGTCAGGCACTCCTGGTGCTCCTCGCCGTCGTCGTACATCACGCAGTGCTCGAGCGCCACCGGGTCGTATGCCTTGACCCGCCCGGTGAACCACTTCCGCTCTCCCGGCCAGTAGACGCTCACCCGCCGGCCGACGAGAGCAGGCCCCTCCGGCTTCTCGGGAGGCGCGTCACCAGCGCCGGCAGCGCACGAAGACTTGGCCGCCGCGCCTTGTGCGCCCTTGGAGGAGGAGGCGCCGCTGTTGCCGCCGCTGCCGCCGCGCTTGCTGCTGTTGCCGCCGCTGCCGCCGGCGCTTTGCGACGCTCCGCCGCCCAGCAGCAACTCGCGGAAGGCCTCGAGCGTCATTGAGCTGAACTCCCTCTCTTGGGTCAACTTGATGAGGAGGTGGTCCTTGCCCTTGAGATTATCCCCCTTGAGTGACCAACCGCCGATAATGACAAAGGCATTGTACGGACCCATCGCGACTAGGCGCGCAAACTGCAGAATCTCGTCCGGGGTCGGCTTGATCGTGCCCTTCCCCGCACTACCCGATGCGTCACTCTGACCGCGGCCTCGGTTGGCCCGCCCGCCCGCCGCCGTCGCCGCCGCCGCCACCGCAGGCTGCTGCTCGCCCTCATACTTTTGCTTGAGCATTTCAAAAGCGGTCGAGATCTCCTTCTGTGCCTCGGCCGCCCCCGGCTCGGAGGTTTTGTCCGGGTGCAGGAGCTTCGAAAGCGAAAGGTACTCCTTCCGTATCGCCTTCAGCTCGAGCCCAGAGCTGACGCCGAGCACATTGAAGGGGTTCTTACGATTAGTGCCGTCCGTCGACCAGCCAGGGCTGACGGGCGCGTCTGAGATGCGCTGGATCGCTCGCTGCCGGAGGGCGTCCTCGTCCTCCTGCATCGGAGCGAAACTCGAAGCGATGATGCGGGCGCCCACAACAAAGCAGCGCAGGAAAGAACAAATCATGTTTTTGAAGTTCGTGTGAGAGAGAGATTTTTAGCAATACCAAACAACTCTAACACTCACACGTCATTTGGGGCCTGGAGCCCTGTTCACGCGCGCGCGAGACGTGCAGACAGGGTTGCCAGGTGAGAGCGAATGGCGCGGTTCACGCCTCGCACAACAGAGAGAGAGATGCGCTCTGCATGGTGGGACATAAAAGAGAGCGAGTACTTGGGCGAGTAGGCCGTGCGGTCAACGCTGCCGCTTTTGTTGTTTTCGTGTGTTTCTCCGTTTTGTTTCTTTCTTTCTTTAGGGTACATGCTGGTCAAGGTGCCTCGTCCCTCGTCCTCCCTCTACCGACTATTCGCCGCTGATTTCTTCCTTTCTTTGTGGGTGCTTTGTAAGGTGCCGATATGGGCTTCCAGTATCAGACCTTCAAGAAAATGCGCGTTTGGTCTGCGGCCTCTTCTCGGCCATTCTTTTACTTTCAACATGCATGCTCACCACACTTGTTCTTGACGCCTGGGCCTTGGGCGAGAGAGGAGGCTGCTGCGGTTTGACAGTGCAGCGCTCCATGCACATCCGCTGTTATCTGGCGCCGCCCCCGTACTGCGGCTTGAGCTTGTACTCCATCTTGTGCGGCCCAAACTTTTCCCTCTCGCACAGCTCGTCGAGGACGGGTGCCAGGTCCGTCGGCCGCTGCCCGGTCTCGCTCGCGAGGTCCGCCTTGTGCCAGTGGGGCTGGAGCTCGAACTTCTCGAAGACGAGGTCGCGCAGCTCCTCCCGCGAGAGCTTCTTCTGCGCCTTGGCCGCCTTCTGCTTCTGCTCGGCGCGCTCCCGCTTCCCGTCCCTGATGCCCTGCTTCTGCCGGTGGATCTCGCTCGCTTTCTTGAGCGGCTGGTTGAGGTGATCGACGTCCACGGCCTCCACCTCGGCTCGCACGGACGCCGCCTCCTGCCGGCTCCGCACGAGCTGCTTGTAGCCCGCGCTCAGCCCCGCCGCAGACACATCCCCCTTGGCCGTCACCCGCCCCTCAAGCGCCATTTCGCCGGCGGGCGCGTCGGGGCCGCCCGGCGCGAAGCTGTACATGCCGCCCGTCGGCGCGCCCAGCGTCAGCTTGTACTCCACATCGCCGCCCGCCTCGCCCGACGACGGTCCTGCCCCGCCCGGCGCCGCGCTCGTCCGCAGCGTGTACGTGTCCCTGCCCATCGCGTCCTTCACGCCCGGCTCGACGACGCCGAGGCTGTGGCCGGACGGCTGCTGCTGCCAGCTCTCCGCGAGGTGGCGCGGCACCTTGACGAGCCAGAGGGACGACATCACCGCCGGCTGGGCCTTTCCGCGCACAAGAATTTGGCTACGCCGGCAGTTCTGGCACACACACACACGCATGCATGCACAGACACACAGCGCCTTCCCCCTCAAGGACGAGCACACACACAGGACGCACCTCTAGCGAGGCCCGCATAGAGGCATAGTATGTGGGAGACTGAGGGCCCAACTTCAGAATCCTGCTTTTTTGGGTTAGGGACGAGCGCGAAGGACCGATTGCGGTGAAGGACCGCAGGTTAGGGACCGATCGCCGCCGCTCACGCCAGCGGACGGTCGTCATCAGTGATGTTAGCTACGCCACCGTCTACCTCGTGCGCGATGCGCTCGCCGGCATCGAGCGAGCAACGTGTTCGACCGAGCGGCTTGCTGTGCAGACGGCTTCTTGTGGCTCTCGTCGAGAGCGTTTTGCGGCCCGGCGGGTGGGAGAGCATGTGTCGTCTGATGTGTCACTGTGTACGTTATATCAGTCTTGATAACAAGTACGGTCGATCCGTCAAAGCGATACACTCGTCACGATCACGTTGGACGGCTTGCACAGAGCTCTGTGCCGGCACGCATCAGGAAGACCGCCGTACGGCAAGAAGAGCTCGATGGGGAGCGAGAACCGTCAGAGGTGCTCAAGGAGGTTTCGGAACTCCGCCATGATGCGGTCAGTTCCCCCAGGTTTGACTGCGTAGGTCGCGGAATTCGTTGAGTACTCGCAGCCTTTCTGCGCCTCCGTCTGGGCATATCGGCTGCTCGGCAAGAGCAGTCTTTCCGGAAGATATCGACGATTTTCGAGAGCCACGCGCTTGGGAGCGATTGAGCGCGTCACGGAGGACTTCAGGTTACCCTTGAAGCTCCTCTGACGGTTCTCGCTCCCCATCGAGCTCTTCTTGCCGTACGGCTCTTCCTGTTGCCGGCACAGAGCTCCGTGCCAGCCGTCCAACGTGATAGGAACGAGTGTATCGCTTCGACGGATCGATCGACCGTGCTTGTTATCAAGACCGATGTGACGTACACAGTGACACATCAGACGACACATATTCTCCCACCCGCCGGGTCGCAAAACGCTCTCGACGAGAGCCACAAGAAGCCGTCCGCACAGCAAGCCGCTCGTCGGACAGGCGTGCTCGCTTGATGTCGGCGAGCGCATTGCGCACGCTTTGAACGGTGGCGAAGCCAAAAACACCGACGGTGGCCGTCCGCCGGCGTATGCGGCGGCGATCGGTCCCTAACCTGTCGCCCGCGGTCCCTAACCCAAAAGTGGTCCTTCGCGCTTTGGTCCCTAACCAAAAAAGCACGATTCTGAAGTTGGGCCCTCAGACTCCTGCCGCCGCCCCTGCCACCCCTGTGTCAGTGTGCCTGTCTGAGAGAGAGAGAGAGAGAGAGAGATTTTAGCAATACCAAACAACTCTAACACTCACACGTCATTTGGGGCCTGGAGCTCTGTTCACGTTTTTGTCCTGTCTGTGCACTGTGGTTCAGTGGTTGCGAGAGACTGCCAGTGAGAAGCTGGATGGAGGCAGGTCGCTAGACTGAGATGAGACCGCCAGTGGAGTTGGGAGTCCACCGTGCACCGCGCTGCGAGTCTGTCGTGTCCCTTGTCAGGACCAGGAGAGCCCCACCTGTGCCCCTGGTCGTCCTTCCAAAATCCTTGCTCGTGGTCGTGCAGGTGTGGACCCTGTCCTCCTCCCCCATCCCTCGTTTGGGATTGTCTGTCTTCTTTCTTTCTTTCTGCACCACAAAAAGCCGCGAGAGCATGGGATCGGCAGGCGGCGGCGGCGTCGCAGGACGAGGCAGAGGAGAGCGACGCGACAGAGGAGGAAGCGACAGGGAGGGGAGAAGCAACGACGAGAGTGGGACGACCGCGAGGTGGCATGAAGGTTGCAGCGAGAATCGGCGAGGGACTGCGAAGGGAGATAGGAAGCCCAATGGTTAGGCCTGTACCGTGTTTGTTATGACCCCCCCCAATGAGCACACCAGTGGAGGGAGGGCGCGAGACGATCGAGGGGTCCCGTACGATGCGGAAGCGACCCTATCCGGTGCTCAAGTGCTCAGGGTGGGCGACGGCTAGCACCACACTGAGGGCCCAACTTGAGAATCGTGCTTTTTGCGAGGTTGTTTCGTGTTAGGTTGGGTTGTGCTTGGGTGAGGTTGTTGGCGTTGTTCCGAGTGAGGTTAGGTCGTCGGCGCGAAGGGTGAGGTCTCGACCGCCGCCGCTCACGCCAGCGGACGGCCACCATCGGTGTTTTTGGCTTCGCCACCGTCCAAGGCGTGCGCCATGCACTCGCCGTTATCGAGCGTCCGAGCTCGCCTGTCCGACGAGCGGCTTGCTGTGCGGACGCCTTCTTGTCGCTCTCGTCGAGAGCGTTTTGCGTCCCGGCGGGTTGAGAGAAGATGTGTCGTCTGATGTGTCACTGTGTACGTCACACCAGTCTTGATAACAAGCACGGTCGATCCGTCAAAGCGATGATACACTCGTTCATATCGCGTTGGAGGGCTGGCACAGAGAGCGACAAGAAGGCGTCCGCACAGCAAGCCGCTCGTCGGACAGGCGAGCTCGGACGCTCGATGTCGGCGAGCGCATGGCGCACGCTTTGGACGGTGGCGAAGTAAACAACACCGATGGTGGCCGTCCGCTGGCGTGAGCGGCGGCGGTCGAGACCTCACCCTTCGCGCCGACGACCTAACCTTACTCGGAACAACCTCACCCAAGCACCAACCCAACCTAACAAGTGCTAACACGAAACAACCTCACCCAAAAAGCACTCCAAGTGCTCCAAGCACGATTCTCAAGTTGGGCCCTCACATTTGGCCTGTGCCCGTTAATTCTCGAATATCTTTGAGAATATAGAGGGCCTAGCTAGCGCACTTGAGCATTCGATTTCTCGAGAGTGTAGATGCCCCGCCGCTTTTCCCTCAAGAATATACGAGCTGGTTCGAGCTTTCCGCAGCCCTTGACCTTACTTAAGGTCATTCACGGGTGTCCGCGGCCCACTGTGCCCGCTGGTAGGACAGTGACCGCCGCAAACCCTGTGATCAGCATGCGATCTCGGATATTTTTTGTAGGCACCGTAACACCAAAAAACTAGTATGTCTTGCAGTGAAAAGTAATCCGAGCAAGCCCGCGGCCGCAATGAATTAAAAGGCGCGGTGTTCGAGGGGGAATATGGATAATCTGGGAATCGGCTCACCACGGATCCCCACCTCATCGAAAAACTTTTCACTGCAAGACATACTAGTTTTTTAAGGTGCTCTACAACCTAGGCACAAAAGATATGGCATTTGAGGCCATTTAGGGCCCCTAGACGGTCACTGAGTAGGCCAAAATCCCCACTGGGCCGGGAGAACCTTAAGTAGACCTCGAGTCCAAAGATATTCTTGAATATTCTTGACGTTACCACTGCTGCGCGTCTAAAACGGTCTTGACGAGAGAGCTCGAAACAGCTATTTCCCCCCTCAACAGTAGGGTTCGGGTCGATCCGACTGAAATCTTTAAGTTTTGGAGGTTCTGAGCGGGTTTGGGAGCGACTTTTGGCCTCCGTCGACCTACGGCTACGCGTGGTCAAAATATTCTCAATATTCGAGAATATTCTCGAGAATATAGACAGTCCGGGGAGAATACAAGCAAAAGAATATAGATAGTCCTGGGCGAGAATAACGCGCACAGGCTAACTCACACTCCTCTCCTTCCTTCAAATCCCTGTGTGGTGGCGGCGTGCCGTCCTCCCATCCGCATCCCTCCCTAAATAAATAAACAAAGAACTTGACAAATGCCAACAAAAAAACGGCCTACTCGCCTAAGTACTCTCGCTCTCTTTTATGTCCCACCATGCAGAGCGCATCTCTCTCTCTCTGTTGTGCGAGGCGTGAACCGCGCCCTTGGAGCACTTGGAGTGCAGTTATCAACCTCACATCCAGGGCCGGGGAGCTCAGAAGCGCACCCAGCGGGCCGGATGATCGGGATCGGGTTACGGGCTAGAGAGCCCTAGCCCCGGCGCCATTCGCTCTCACCTGGCAACCCTGTCTGCACGTCTCGCGCGCGCGTGAACAGGGCGCAGGGGCTCCAGGCCCCAAATGACGTGTGAGTGTTAGAGTTGTTTTGTTGAGTTCGGTCGGTAATGTCAGAAACCCAAACACAGGCGGCGACGTGGCGTACGAGCTCGTAGGTGAAGGAGGCGGGTACAACTATCAACTTCCAAGGACGCACGCGAGCGAGAAGCAGCACCAGCAGACAGAGCAATGACGATGATGAATGAAATAAATAAAACGGACATCCAAGGCTTGCCAAGCTATCCCTCCCTTGCTTGGGTTGCATTTTTGTTTCTTTCTTTTTGGCACAGCCCAAACACGCGTCGCCTAAACAACCGGCTCCTGCCTGCCTAAGGAATGCAAAACTTCGGGCTAGGTAGGTGGTGGTGGTCGGTAGGGTGGGAGCACTTAGAAAAGAAAATCTCGCGGCCGCGCAGCCCAGTCCACAGTGGAGACCCTCGCAGCCGCCCCTCGTGCCACCGGATCCACCCGAGCGCGGTGGGAGGGGTGGATCACCGTCGGCGGATCACCGTCGGCGAGGGGCGGCCCTACGCGGCGGCCGTGGCGCGGATGCTGCAGAAGGCGCGCCTCGCTCGCTCCCGCGCTCCCGACCCTCGCCAGTACTGATGGATCGCGCGCGCTACCGCTGGCAGGGAGGCATCACCGGCCCGCAGCGCTCCCGCCACCTCGAGAAGAGCGACGCCGCATCCCGCACGCTCGAGGTGGGCGAGGTGCCTTGGGACGGCAACTCCTCGAGCAGGAAGCAGGCGGTCGGGGGAGCGGGGGCGACTCACACGGCAGGCGCGCGACCAGCCCTCGACCACCGCCTCGAAGACGGCCCGCCCTCCGCTTCGGAGGTCGAGCGAGCCTTTGGCCTGCACCGCTTCCGCGAGCCGGAGGCGCACGGGCTCGAGTTTGCGCGCGGCGAGGTGCGATGCGTCTGCGGGTGCTGCGAGACGTGGCAGCGCTGGGTGAGCGGCAAGCCCTTGCTCACGTCGGCGGGCGGGCTTCCGGTCACTGTGCACGGCGGCGGCGCGCCACTCGTGCGGTACGAGGTGATCACGGCCGAGCTAGTCGAGAGCCTCGCCATCTGGTTCGCCGGCCTCGCAGGGCGGAGGCCGGCACCGCTCCGGGTCCTCGAGGTTGGCGCCGGTGACGGGCGCCTCACTCTTCACCTGCGGGCGGCGCTGAGACGGCGAGGGCTCTCGTCGCGCGAGGTGCAGCTCGTCGCCACCGATAGCGGCGCGCGGGAGCTCGCCGCGTGCGAGCCGGGTGCGGTCGAGGCGCGCGACTACCGCTCCGCGCTGCTCGAGCACGCGCCGCACGCCGTGCTCTGCTCGTGGATGCCGCTGGGGGAGGACTGGACCGCCGCCTTTCGCAGCAGCGAGTCGGTCGAGACGTACCTCCTCCTCGGCGAGGTGGACGACGGCTGCTGCGGCCGGCCGTGGGAGACGTGGGGCTACGACGCAGACGGGACCCACGGAAGCGAGAGCGAGGGCGACGGCGAGAGCGGTGGCGAGAGCGGTGATGAGAGCGGTGATGCGGGCGGCGGCGAGGGCGAGGGCGAAGGCGGGAGTGTGGGAAGGAAGCGGCAATGCGGCGGGCTGCGGGCTGCGCGCCGCAGAAGCGCGGTGGACTGGGCGCAGCGGCTGCCCGCCGTTGAGACCGCAGGGCCGCCGGGTCGGCCTGAGGGTCGGCCCGAGGAGGACGCTTGCGCGTGGCGGAGGGTGTACGAGCGCCGCCCGCTCCGCACGCCGTTCGGCGCAGACGGGTGGACGCGCAGGCCGCTGCCCGGCGTGAGCTGCCAGATCTGTCGGACCGACGCGCCGTGGTGCAACAGGCGGCACTCCCAGGCCGTCTGCTTTGAACGGCTCCCAGACAGATAGCGCAGAGTTTGTCGTGCGGGCGGTTGTCTGTTGGGCGGCTCTCTGCGCTCACGTGACCGGACCCGGTGAGCGCACCCGCGTTTGCGACCACGGGGACCCGATTTTCGTTTACCAGATGTCGTTTACACGCGATGAGATGTACGTCAGTCGATCCGGCTTTTTTACTTTTTTTCGGCATTCGGGCACATTCATTCAAAATGTTACTTGTTAGTTGTTAGATGCTACCGCATTGCCAATGGTTAAATGTGCACCGTAGATCACTGACTCTGTAGGTAGTACTGTGTGCTGCGCCGTGCGCGACCTCGGAACACGCAACCGACACATACGTACAAAAGTGTCTCACTCTGCGAACCCCCCGCGAACCGTCAACCGACACCGCGCGCCCACGTCAGAGCACTCAGCGCGAGTTTTCTCGGGCAGAACTGGCGCCTGGCCTCGCGCCCCATGCAGCCGCGGACACGGCGTAATTCGCGCTTTGCCAAGCGCACCTCAGTACAGGGTGTATCCGCGTTCGAGCGCGTCCAGGACGCCTTCGAGCGAGAGCCCGCCGATGTGCTCTGCGGGGTAGTTGCAGACTCTGGCTTGCTGCAGCTTCGACGAGTGCTTGGGCTCGAATCGATGCTCGTCGGCGACACAGCCGCTGGGCTCGAGCTTCGGGCAAGCCATGCACAGCTCCTCGATCGTGTCCTTTTGCAGATCGGGGCCGTGCTCGTCCTTGCAGTGCTTCAGCCGCACGAGAGCGAGGGCGGGCAGCTCGCAGCCCGCAAAGTCGCTCGGCGCCACGACGATCTCCTTGAGCTCAAGCATGACGAGCGTGCGCGGCAGCGGTGTGGCTTGGAAGCTCTTTCCGAGGCGGGGCAGCCGAGGCAGCGTCTCGCCTCGCGAGAGGTACTTCCTGCCGTGGGCGAGGCAGAGCGACTCGAGCCGCGGGCAGCCAGAGACAAAGGTCTTGATGAAGCACGCGAGGCTGGCGTCGGAGAGGTGCGGCGACGCGTCGCTCGCGGTGAAGCCGTAGATCATGTCGTAGATGTGGAGGCGCCGGAGGTTGGCGCCCTGCAGAGGCGCCGTCGGCAGCGGCGGCGACGGGCCGCGCAGGGCAAAAGAGATCGTGAACTCCTGCAGCTCGGGGAAGAGCGCGCCTGCCGCGACGCCTGCAAAGGGCGTGACGTTCTCCGCGTACCGGCCCGTCTGGCGAAGCCGTGTCAGCAGCGGCGTGCCGCCCTGCCGCGCCTCGCGGAGCAGCTTGGCGAGGCCTTCGAGGATGTCGCCGGACAGCTTGTGGGAGGCGAGCGACTCGAGGCTCGGCGCCGTCTTGAGCACTGCGAGCACGGTGGCCGCGCCCACCTGGCCCCAGTCGAGGTCGAGGATGCGGAGGGCGGGGCGCTGCACCTTTGCCATCAGGGTCAGAATCTTCTTGTTCATTCCCTGTCCTGTCAGGCTGAGGCGCTCCACGCCCGGAAAGAGCGCGAGCGTCGCGCTCACGTCGTCGGGCGCGAAGCCCTTTGAGATCAGCAGCGAGAGCTCAGTCACCTTGTCGGCATCGGGCAGCCACTGCGCAAAGCGGACGAGGTTGCGGCTTGTGATCCAGTCCACAGTCTCGTAATGGTGACCGAGCCGCTGCGCGTCCTGAAGCGATGTGCGAACGACCGACCACAGGTCGGCGACGAATCGCAGCGGCCGCAGCCCTTTGCAAACCTCGATCGCAAAGGTCAGCTTGACCGGCAGGTAGCAGTTCTCGAGGACCTTGACGAGCAGGTCGACGGGCAGCAGCGAAAAGGGACCGGCGTCCTCGAATTGCGCCACCGCGGTGCCGACACGCACGGCGGCGCGGGCGGGAGGAGGGCGTGCGCTCCCCTCTAGCTGCTTGAGGCTGATTGGAGCGCCGGCGCGCAGCGACGCAAGGACGAGCTGCTAGTGCGGCGCGGCCGCACGAGGCGACGAGGCGTTCGGCGTCGGCCGGCGCGGCGGTGCTGGTGGAAGCGGCAGCCTTGCGAGTGGCCTTCTTGGCGGCGGCAGCATGCCGCCGAGGCGCAACCCTGGTTCGGCCGCGCTTTCTTTATTTCGAACAAAGAATAAGAACCGGCCCCCGCGAGCGTGGAATAGGACCGCCGCAAGCGGCGTGGCGTGGAGCGGTTGAGCGTCCCTCCGGGGGCCCCTCTGCGCCGGGGAGGCGTTGTTGGCGGCTAGGATGCGTCCGTCGCCGTTTTCAAACTCGGGGCCCACTCCGCTACGCTCCGACCCGAATTTGGAGGGCCATGAAATTTAAGGTGTTGCTGCGCAAAAGGGGTGGCGCGCGGGCGCGCGCGGCGGCGGGCGTCGAGCGCGGAGCGGCAAACACAATGACGTCGGAAAGCTCTGCATCAAGTATACAGTAGGCTCTAAGCACGGAACCAGAGTTAGGGGAGAAGTGTGGTGCTAGCCGTCGCCCACCCTCGGGCGTCTACCACGTCCTATCGTTGACTAGCGCTACCTCGCGTTGGCGCACCAGCTTCTACTTCAGCGCGAAGCTTCGCTGGAAAGAGAAGATGAAGCACGCGCTCACGGCAGATCGTCGCAGGAGGGGGAGCGAGGCACCACTCGGGCCGACGAACAAAGAAAGAAACGTTCCAACAGAAACGTTCCAACAGCTAGTGCTCAAGACGTCTTTCCGCGACTCCACCCCCAGCAGCTTCATCTCTGACTCCAACATCACCGGTACGATGTTCGAGGAGCTATCAGTAAATATGCGAGATACCCTTTTCTTTGCGCTTCTTTTTTCCGTTTTTTTCTTTTTGTCGTGAGCACTTGAGATACCACATGTTCAAACTCCGCACTTTAATTCGATCTTTCTCGCCGCGGCTCGTGGGGCTCGGAAGTAGTCAAGCAGGTGAGCGGAGTGGGCGGAAGGAGGCCTGGGAGCATTTTGGCACATGTACATGTACATGTGGTGCATATGTTGTTGCGTAAACTGTGTTTTTTTGTGGGGCAGGGGCGGAGCCCCTAAGCCCTATTGCCCACGCTTGCGGGCCGATCAGGGGTGTGTGGGTCCACAGTGCGAATACCAACACGGTATCTCCAAACGACAGACCTCACCGTGCCATGTAGACGCCCGCACAACCAGAGATCGCCGCGAAGCCCGCCGGGAGGCTCGAGAATGGCGGCGCAGCAGGGAGGGCGTGAGATGGGGCACAATCGCCGCCGCCCTAATCGACAAGTATTCATGCTGCGGCACGACAGATACGCCCGCCTGCACACAGTCGCGGGCGTGAGGTCTCAATTTGTCGCTAGGACCCAAGAGCAATGCATGCACACGCATGTGCATGTTGTGCAATGACAGCGGGACGGAGGGGCAGGCCGTGTCTGCACGTCTCGCGCGCGCGTGAACAGGGCTCCAGGCCCCAAATTACGTGTGAGTGTTAGAGTTGTTTGGTATTGCTAAAAATCTCTCTCTCTCCGATCTTGCCCCCGTCGCATGCCGGAGAGCACGCACCGCTGTGATGCTTGAAAGAAAGAAAGAAAACAGACAATCCAAGGGAGGGATGGGAGGACGGCACGCCGCCACCACACAGGGATTTTAAGAAGAGGGGTGGGTGCGCACGTGCGCTAGCCGTCGCCCACCCTTGGGCGTCTGCCTCTTCCTATCTCTCTTGGCAGTCCCTCTCCGATTCTCGCTGCAACCTTCATGCCACCTCGCGGTCTTCCCACTCTCGTCGTTCTCAACAAACTCTCTCTCTCTCGTTCTCTCTCTTGTCGCTTCTTCCTCTGTCGCTTCGCTCCCCTCTGCCTCGTTCTGCGACGACGCCGCTGCCTGCCGATCCCTGAGGCTCTGCTAAACTTGCTTAAATTCTTTTAGCCTGCGAGACGAGCACAGCCGCGCGAAACAACCGAGGCAGGCTCATCACTGAGGTGACGACAGCCGATAGGCGGACCTCCAACGCGATGGAGGTAAGGTCTGGCCGCCTCGACAGCTTCAGCGGCGAGGATCTCGAGTCCGCTCGAGACGTTCTCATCTCGCGCTTCACGGTGGGCAAGAAGTCCGCCGATCACAACCGCGCCCTCATCAAGCGCATCTTTTCGGGTGCCACCTTCCACTGCCACCGCGCCGGGCGCGAGGTCCCGACGGCCGGCTGCAGCCTCGCCCTCGGAGAGGTGGGCGGCCGGTGCGTGGCTGTCGGCTGCTACCGGCACGTGCCTGCACCACGGAGGTCGTCGCTCCAGGGCTTCACCGAGCTCTTGCTCCTCGCGGTCGAGACGGTGCGCGCTCCTGCGGTAGCTGTTTCGATGCACAGCCACCCTCCCCATGTTGCGCACGTGGCCCGCGCAATCCCTCTGGCGCCGGCTTGCACAGGAGTACGAGCGCCAGGGAAACGGCCGCGCCATCGTCGCTGTCATCCTCCGCGACAGCTGGCGCGCCGGCTCTGCGCGCCTGCTGGTCGTCTCCACGGGCCACGCGTTTTGGAAGAAGCCCTCGCTGCAGCTCTCCGAGCTGGGGTCGCCAACGGACGTCGAGCAGCCCGTGTTTGCGCCCTGGTCGGCCGGCATCTCCATCGTCGGCCGGGAGGCGCGTGCCTGCTCCGAGCCGCGGCAGCGCTCTCCGCAGCCCGCCCCGCAACGCGTGGTGGCCGCGTCTAGGTGTCCGAGTCTGCTGCGGACGAGCTGGACGCAATCTGTCGAGCCGCGGCCGCCCCTCGCAGGGGCAGGGCGGGGAGGCCCGGCGGAGGGGCGGGGAGGTCCGAGGGCGAGGTAGCCTCTCGCCAGCCCGAGCCGGCCGGGAGGAAGCGGACGCCGCCGGCGCTCCCTCCAACCACTCCGAAGCGGCGCCACGCCGCCGCCTCTCCGGACGCCGCAAAGGCGCTCCTCGCGCAGACGGAGGCGGCGCCGAGGAGAGCCTCGAAGCGGGCCTCTGCCGAGGACACGCCTGCCAAGCCTGCCGCCAAGGCTGCGAGGGCGCCGCCGCCCGGAGAGGACTCGCCTCCGAGGGAGGGACGCCGGCCCCAAAAGGCGGCCGCCGCCAAGGCCCCCGCGGCGGCGGGCGCCCCTCCCTCCCTCGGCTGCTCGCGGTGCCGCCTCTCGGCGAACGGCTGCCTGCAGTGCAATCCCAACCACCCGCGGTATGCCGGAGGCGACGAGGCGCAGGAGGCGGCGCCGTCCCGCAAGGCAGCCGCTGCCAAGCGGGCACCGGCGACCAGCACCCCTCGGCGGCCAGCGTCGCAGACCGCAGCGACGCAGGCGCCGGCAGCACGGCCGGCGCCAGTGGCGGCACGGGCGGCACCCTCAAAGCCTCTCGCGGGGAGCAGCGGCCTGCGGTGCCGGAGCTGCGACGCTCCCGGCGCGCAGCGGCGCGAGGCGTCGAACGGCGGCGCCCTCTGCCGGGCGTGCTACGGGAGGTGGATCGCGCGCGAGTATTGCCCCGTGTGCGAGCGCTTGTGGAGCGACGTCGGCGACGACGCGTGCATGCTGCAGTGCGACTCGTGCGACTGCTGGGTCCACGCCCGGTGCGAGCGCCTCTCGCCGGCTTCGGTCGCGCGGTGGTGCGACCTCTGCTACTCGTGCCCGAGCTGTCGGGACGCGGCGCCGGGCGAGCAGCTGCCCGCCCCGCCCCGCTCCGCCGCCGTCAGGCCGTGCTTCAGCTGCCAGGCCGCGCCGGCCGTGGGGGAGGTCGAGGTACCGGAGCACGGAGCGGTCCCGCTTTGCGGTCACTGCCAGGCGCGGTGGGAGGGGCGCGAGTACTGCCCCGTCTGCAACCAACTCTGGAAGGAGGCAGCCGACGACGACGACGAGGGTGGCGCCGAGGAGGACATGGTGCAGTGCGACGCCTGCTCGCTCTGGGTGCACACCGCTTGCGAGTCGATGGCGCCCGACGAGGTGGCGCTGCTCGAGGACTGCGTCTACCACTGCTCCGCGTGCCGCCGCGCACCCGCCCGCTCGGCCGCCGGCACCGCCGCCGGCGCAGTGGGCGCCTTTGACTTCAAAGGCAAGGCGCGGGCCGAGGTGTCGGGGGCGCGCCTCACGGTGTGGTACGAGGAGGAGGTCGGCGATCAGGCGGTGGACGTGCCGTACTCCGGCATGGTCAAGCGGTTCGACCCGCGCGACGGGCTGTACGTCAAGTTCGCCGGTTTCCCCGAGGAGTTCCTGATCACCAACGAAGACGACTGGCAGTGGGGCTCGCACTCGTGCGGCGCGGCGCGGGACGCTGACTCCGACCTCGCCGCCGCACTCTCTGTCACAGCGGCCGCTCCGCCGCCGCCACCGCAGCAGCAGCCGGTTGCAGCGGGAGCGGGTGCCGCGGCGCCAGGCCTTGTCTTCACAGCGCCGGCGTCGGCGCCGGCGGTGGCCACGCCTCCTGCCTTTGCAGCGCAGCTGGCCGTGCAGTGGCCTCTTCCACCCTCTGCCCGCTTCGCCGCGCCCCAGCCCAACCCTCTGCTGCACCACCAGACCTTTTGGGGCGCCCCTCCATACGCTGCTCCGACGTGGGGTCGGCCGGGCTCGGGCACAATCGAGCCGCTCGGGCAGTCACAGCCACAGCCGCCTCTCCAGATGCGGCCAATGCCGCCGCCGCTACCGATGCAGCCGTTTCAACCGCCTCTGCCGTCACATGCCGCACCGGCGGCGCCGCCTCCTCCGCAGCCAACAAGCTGCATGATCGTGTCGCCATCCGCTCAGCCGGCGAGGCCAGCGGCTTGCACCGCGGCTTGCACGGCCGTGACAGCCCTGCCCTCAGGCACAGTCACGGCGGCAGCGGCACCGGCAGCGGCACCGGTGACGCCCTCCGCGTCTACTTCGTCGTCCTTCGACCCCGCCTTGGCGGAGCGGTACAAGTCGCACGCTGTCCGATTTGAGCCGCTCACAGCGGCGAACGTCGAGAGCAAGATGCGCGGGCTGTGCGAGGGCCTCGAGAAGGTCTACGGCTCGATGCCGTTCGCGCGCAAGGAGTGGGGCACCTCAATCCTCGGCACGCTGGTCGGACTCATCTGCGCGCAGACGTGCCGCAACTCTTGGTCGTCGATCGGCTACGCAAACTTCCAGGCCACCTTCCCCGGGCCCAATGGGGAGCCCGACTGGGACCTCGTGCGCCGCTCGCGCGTGGAAGCTCTGGAGCCGTGCATCCAGCACGGCCCGTACTACCACACCAAGGCAGAGCGCATTCACGGGCTTCTCCAGAAGGCGTACGAGGACTTTGGCGCGGGGACATCCTTCGAGGCGCTGCACACGTGGCCCTCCGAGAAGGTTCGCTCGTACCTGATGGCGATCTCTGGGCTCTCTGGCAAGTCGATCGCGTGCCTCCTCCTCTACCGCATGAACCGGCTCAGCTTCGCCGTCGACGCGAACGTGCTCCGCATGATGACCCGGCTCGGCTGGCTCAAGTCGCTCGGGATCATGCCGGTCGAGGGTCTCGCCATCGGGGACCGCCGTGTGGTTGCCCGCATCGGCCTGCTGCCCGCTCCGCCGCCGCGCAGAGCGCCAGCGGCGGCAGCGGCAACGGCGCGGCGGGACTCGAGCACGGACGTCGTCGCGGTGGGGATCGCCGTCGAGCGAGAGAGCGGCCGGATCGTGCTGCGCCTGCAGCCCATCCCGATGCCCGTGCGGCTGCAGCTCTGCGCAAAGCAGCCAAAGCCGCCACGGCCGGCACTCACCTTCCGGCCCAGCGGTGCCGGGACGAAAAAGCGGCGCTGCGGTGCCTGCGCAGCCTGCCTCTCCCCAAACTGCGGCCAATGCTCCAAGTGCCGCGACATGCCCGCATTTGGGGGGCCGGGCAAGATGCGCCAGTGCTGCGAACGCCGTCACTGCGTGGCGCCTCTGCAGCCCGCGTCAGCGCTCCCAGCGCCAGAGGCGCCGCAGACGTCAGTGGAGCGGTCATCCCAGCTGCCGGTTCAGCCGCCGTTGCCCAACCAGCCGCAGGTGGCGATGATGCCGCAGCCGCAGCCCCCGCCGCCCCCGTGGGGGCTGCCCGTCGGGTGGTCGCTTCCCCTGCCGCAGCTCGTGATGCCGATCGCGCACGCAGGAGCGCCAGCGCTGCTGCCGGCGCCGGCGCACCGCTCCTGGCCGCAGGCGCCTCCTCACGCGCAGCTGCAGGCGATGGCTGGAATGTTGCAGCAGCCGTTTCTTCCCGCGCCCACCCCTCCGGCCTCGCCTCCGCCGTGCGATCCTCTCGAGGACGTCACGATGGACGCGGCCGAGGGTGGTGCCACGGACGAGGCCGAGGAATCCATCAGCGGCGGTACGGCAGACGCGGCCGAGGTGGCGATGGATCTGGCTGAGGGGTCTATCCTAGACCTGACGGAGGAGGGCGAGGAGGGGGGAATGGACGCGATGGAGGCGTGTGAGATGGGCGTTGACGACCGCGTGCTCGTTCGCGACGTGATAGCTGAGGCGATTGGTCGCTTGCCGAGTGCTCCGGGGGTTCCCTCAGCTACGCGGAAGCCAGGCGTGCCCCTCGCATTCGGCTTCTCTCCCTACGACGTGTCCGGGAAGATCGGCCCAGAGGAGCCGCCGCAGCAGGTGGTCGATTCGCTCGTCCCTCGGCCAGTGCCGCTCTCCGAGGACCAACCCATCTCGACCAGCGCTCTTGCCGCAGCTGCGGCCGCAGTGGCACCCCCTCCGCAGACACGCTCTTCCCCCCCCCCTTTCGCCGCTCTGACACACAGCGTCTTTGGACCTAGGCGGCCTCGTCCACAGACATGACGTCGGACGCGTGGCGCGCAGCCCCGGGCTCAGCGGCGCTCAAGGTCACCGGAGCGCCCAAGATGTACTGCAGAGTGCACTCGACGTACCACGTGTGCGACTGGACGCGGCAGCGAGCCAAGGAGATGGCCGCGGCGAAGGCTCCCAAAGCCGCTGGTGGCGCCGCCTCTGCTCGAGCGTCTCAGTCGGCCCACCGGCGAGCGAGCGGCGTGGGCGACATCGAGGACCTCCCAAAGCACCCGCAGGCGAACATCAAGCGCTTCTCGGTCCGCGCGCAGCAATTCATGCGGGAGATACTGCCTCAGGACGAGGACCCGCCGGCAGAGCCGTCCCGCGAGAAGCGGGAGCTGCAGACGCTGCTGTACCGAGCGCACGTGTACATGATCACGCACGGAGCGATCCTCTGTGGCGAGACGCCGAGCTGCGACCAGTGCCCGATCCGCGCCTCGTGCGAGTACGGGACGCTGCTCAAGGCCGGCGCGATAGGCTCGATGGGCACCGCGGCATCCCCAGGGCGTGGCTCTGCCGCCGCCGCTGCGCCGGACGTCGTCACTGCAACCGTGGCCGATGGAGCAGACGATTCCGACGTGGTCGCCACCGTCCTTGTCGAGGCTGCCGCCGTCCGCCCCGTCGCTGCGCCCCCTGTCGCCTCCCAGCCCGGCGCCGCACCGATCTCTGGCACAGCTCCCGCTGCCGCTGCCCCTACCCTTCCCTCCGAGGCTACCGCCGCGAATAGCTCTAAGGAGCCGGCTGCGGCGGCTTCTGCCGGCGCCGATGCTGACGCCGCCGCTGGCGCCGCCGCTGCCACCGGCGAGGCCCGGGACGTCGGCGCTGCGCCGGCTCCTTCCGAGTCTGGCGCGCCCAGTCCCGTCGCGCCCACGGCGACCGTGCTTAATCCCGCCGACGAGTCCGCCTCTCTCACCGAAGCGCTCCCGGCCGAGTGCGGCGGCAGAGTCTCTCTGTCGAGTGCGGGTGCGGCTTCAGGAGCGGAGCCGTTGCAGGAGCCGCCCGCTGGGAAGGATGCCGCGGGAATCGCGGATGGCACCGTCGAGGATATGCCTGAGGATCCGGGCCGAGCGGCGCCGCCTCGTCCCTCCGCCCTCCCTGCGGGCAGCCCCACCGAGAAGGAGCTGGCGGAGCTGCACAAGCTTGCTCGCGGCGAGGGCGACACGCACTACCAGCTGCGGCAGGCCCGCGCAGTGCTCGACGAGTCGATCGCGCCGCGCCACGCCGGCGACGCGACGCCCCGCCTGTTGCTGGTCAAGTCGATCGTGGGCGAGCACGCGTGCGGCCGGCTGCTCTTCTCTCCGTGGACGGCCTTCAAGGGCATCTTCCCGATGCACGGCACCTACTTCTTCCAGAACGAGGTCTTCGAGGACGAGTCGGCCGGCGAGGTGCACGTGCCGCTCGCCAGCCTGGGCACGAGCCACCCCGTCTACCTCGGCAAGTCCATCGAGGGCGTGCTGCGCGGCCGAGGCTCCCGCGAGCTGCAGCTCCTCTTTCGACACGGCTACGTCTGCATCCGCCGCTTCCGCACCAGCAGCTGGCGCCTGCTCCCCCTCGTGCTCGACCCGCCGCGGCTGCTCAAGTACAACGCCCTCCCTTCGGGCGTGGCTGTTCAGATTGGCCTGCAGTCTGAGGCGGACACCGCCGCCGCCGCCGCCGCCGCCGCCGCCGCCGCCGCCGCCGCCGCCGCCGCCGCCGCCGCCGCCGCCGCCGCCGCTGCCTCCTCCACCGCAGCGACCTCGACGACGCCCGCCGCCGACGGTGCCGCAGCCGCTTCCAGCACGGCGGCCGAGGCTGCGGCGGCGACGAGCGATGGCGCGGATGTGTCCCCGGACCCCGCCGAGGCGAGTCGGCGCGCCGTCGCTCGGGCGACGGGAGTGCGCCTCTTTGGGCTCTACGTCGCGGCGGGAGGGGCTCTGTGCATGCGAGAGAGTGTGTGGCGCCGCGTCGTGCTCTCCATCCACCCCGACCGCGGCGGCGACGTAACCACCTTCCAGCTGCTCAACGACTGGAAGCGGCTGCTCGACTCGGGCGAGGAGCTGCCGAGGGAGGTGGCGGGCGAGATCGAGCGTGCGTCCGACGAGGGCCTGGCCGCAACAGCGGTCGCCCTGGCACTCAAGATTGAGTCCGACCTCCGCTCACGGGCGGCGGAGCTTGGGCTGCCGCCGCCCGCCTTGCTGAAGGGGCCGGGCGTGGCCGATGGCGACGCCGACGCCGTCGTGGGCGAAGCCAGCGGTGTGCACACTGACATGGACTCGCACAGCGCATGATGGGACTTGGCACACAGCGAGGGTGGGATATGTCAATTCACTCTTACAAAGTCAAGGTCGGTTCGGTAATGTGATATGTCTGATGACGGGTGTATATGTTCATGCATGTAAATTAAAGTTTAACAAATTAAAGTTTAACAATATGGCTTTCCCCCAACTCGCGAAGAGTGCAAATAAACCACAAAATGACAAAAAAAGATGAATTTTGATGTTTTTTTGTCCGTGTTGCTCCCAGCGCCCTCGCCCGTGCTCCCTGAGGCCATGGCTGGTGCTACTAGTATGGGGGGTTACCTGGCTACCGCGAGAGCGACCCAACTCGTCGACTTCGTCCGATGATGGTGCCTCAAAGTCAGCGTCCGGAGGCTGTCGTGGGGTCGAGCCGGCGGTGGCCGTGACATGTGGTTCCACCACCCCTCGCAGGCTTTGCCTCTGACCGCCACCGTTCCCAGGCTGCCTAATGGGATAGAAAGGAAGGCTGGGCGAGCGTATAGAAGCGTGCTCGACCTTGTCGTGGCAGCCTGCACGGCAGCGCTGCGATGAGCGTCGTGCCACCTGACCCTAGACGGGTCGCAGGCGTCGTACCGAGCGTGTCGAGACCGTGTCCTGATGTGCTCTGCACGGGTGAGTCACGTCGGCGTCAAAGGAGCGACGTGTGACCTGTCAGAGCTTGATTTCCGATCTCAGCGACGTCGAGTCGCCTTCGGTGGCGACAGCTAGGATGCAACTCCTCCTTCGTTTTTCGCGCTATGGCCCTGGGAAGCTGGCGGCGCACGCAGGCGGTCCTTGTGTGTGCGCGGAACGCTTAAAAAGTGGGTGCTCTACGTCACTTTTTTTCGAGCCGAGCTGGCCGCATCGACATTTTTCCCGGGTTTTTGGCGCTTCTCGTAGCTGTGAACAGACGCACTTGCCTTCGGGGCCCAAATCCGCTAGGTTGGGCGTGCTTCACAGCCTCACGAGAGTAGTTTTTGGCGGGTTCTGCACCACATACTTTTGCAACCAACTAGTCAAAAGTGTTTTCCCCCTGCCTGACCGCTGACGAAGTCTCCTTTCTCTTTGCCCTCACTCTTTTACATACATAAAAATAAATAGCGTGAGAAAATGAAGACGCCTGACTCACTTCTCTCACGCGTGCGCAGAAGCGCGCTCCCGTTCCGAAAGCACGCGACATGAGAAGACACGCACATCTTTCTCCGACCACTCTCCTTCTCGCCATCCGCCTCACGCGCTGACGAGGCGTGATCTCTGCGTTAAGGGGAAGTTCCCCATTGGCTCAGGAATGGCGCGCCCACTCCACCAACAGCGCATACGTCAGCAGCCCGAGGAGGACGGCCGAGCCTCCGCCGACCATCGAATAGGCCGGCGAGAGGCGGCCCGCGTTGCGGAGCACCAGCAGCGCGAACCAGAGATATGCCTGCCCGTCGGCGCCTCCTGCCTCGTACGTCTGCACCTGAGGATCGGGCCCGGCGAGGCGTGAGGCGGGTGTCGCGTCTCTCGGGCGGCCGGCGTCGTGCCGCGCGCCTGGTCGAGGGAGACCTGCAGCTCGGAGAAGCGGCGGGGCCGGGCCGGCTCTGGCTCGGACGCGCGCGGCGGCTCGATCTCCTTGCGGAGCAGCGAGAGCCGGCGGCGGCCGCCCTTCCACTCAGCCATCCAGTCCTAGGGCGTGTCGGACCGTGTCTGTTCACAGTCTCCCTCTCCCTCCCTACAACATCTCCCTCTCCCTCCCCATCTCCCTCTCCTCGGGTGTCGGCTCTCTCCCTTGGTCTCGGATAGCTCCCGGCTCTCTACTCGCCTCCATCTCGGCCGGCTCCCGCTCGTCGAGCGTCACGTACCCCAGCCTGCGGTAAAGGGAGAGCGCGGCGGCGTTATCGTGCTCCACCTTGAGGAAGAGGCCGCCCTCGCCCCACCGCTGCGCCGCGGACTCGCACTGCGAGAGAAGCCGCCTCGCGATCCCGCGCCGGCGGGCAGCGGGCGCCACGCACAGGTTGAAGACGACCGGCTGCGGGGTGGCGGCCTCTGCGGCACCGCACGCCGCGGCATTCTCGGCCCAGAGCTCTGCGAACCCTAGCAGGCGGCCCGTGCTCGTGTCCTCAACCACAAACTGCTGGTGGCGGCACCAGTCCCACGGCGTTGTCCTCCTCTCTACGTCGAGCGCTAGCCGGAGGCGGGTCAGCGCAGCCGTGATCGGTGAGCGAGCTGCTTGGTTGGCCGCAAAGCTGAGGTCCAGCAGCGACGCAACCTGCCAAATCTCGGCGCGTCTCAATAGTCGCACCGCGCAGGCGCCACCCGCAGCCCACTCTCTGCTCGCGGTCTCAGCGGCAGTCATAGTTGCTGCCGTGCGTCGCACATCTAATCTGTGATTCGCCGGCGATGCAACTCTTGGTGACACCTCTTTGGATGGGTGTGGTGCTCTTCTGCTGCTGCCGACGCACGTTGACAGGCAAGCGGCGAGCAGGCAAGCTCCAAGCTTCGCGGTGTTTTGCATCCTGGCGTGGTGGCGCTGCGTGAATTTAATTGCAGTACGTGTGTGTCATCGTTCTTTCGCATCAATAAAGAAGGACTCCCACCCTCCCCCTCACTCACTCACTCACCTCGCTCGCTCACTCGCTCACAAGAAGAGAGAGCCCAAATCACTGTGCGTGCCATTTCTTGTTGGCTTCTAAAAAATTGTTGTAAAATTCTAAAAATCTCTCTCTCACTCACTCACAAAAACGGCCTACTCGCCCAAGTACTCGCTCTCTTTGTTGTGCGAGGCGTGAACCGCGCCATTCGCTCTCACCTGGCAACCCTGTCTGCACGTCTCGCGCGCGCGTGAACAGGGCTTTGCGTTTGTTTGTGTCGCAGGAGGTAGTGGAGAATGACCTCCAGACTGACCCGGAGAATCACCTCCACCCAGCCCCACCTCAGCACCCCTATTATCACTCTCTCCCCCCCACAGTGATGAATAGTCTACCTATATCCCCGTATTCCCACACCCCGTGCAGTGGCACGTCTTGCCACCTAGATCACTAATATTAGCACTTTGGGCGCCGACGGCGCCCAAATATTGGCACGTAATAGTTTCCCGACTGCTTTCGCTGGGCGGCACGCGCTGCGAGACAGTCGACCTCTTTGTTGTGGTGTCACAACTCGGTGCATAATTGCGCCACTCCCCCACCGGTGCATAATTGCGCCTTTGTACTTTGAATACGTTCTACAAATATGTCAGCCTCGGATGAGGAGGCTCGCCCTGTCGCGGGAACTTCATCACCCGCAACCAACGCACAGAACCGCGTGCGACTCACTATCACCACGATACATGCTGGGCACCGATCTTCGGGTTCAGATGACGATCTCTCGGCGACCGAGAGAAGAGGGACGCCTCGTGATGCTACAGAGGGCCTCGACCAGGACTCTCCACGGTCAGACCACTCTCATCCCTACCACACCACGTTGGGGCTAGGCAGCCGCGTAAGCGAGCCCAAGGGCGGCATCGATGTACTCAAGGGGTCATCGCCGCCTGACTCCGTTGGGAAGAGGGCTACGCCAGCTGGAACGCCTTCTGCCGGGCTGCCGGCGAGCTCTCCTCCGATGGAAGTCTCACCAGACCCGGAAGGGTTTGGCTTGACCGTGGCAGCGATCAGGCCAGCCGCAGTGAACTCGCAGCGGGACGCGAGCATCACGCAACAACGATACCAGTCAACAGAACTTGGACGAACATTCAACGAGACGGACGCCAAGACCGCCGAGTCAGCTAAGGCCGAGGCTGCGACGCTCGACACCGATGCACTGATGAAGCGCAATGCAGAGCTGATGGCCAAGCTCAAGGTCACCAAAACGCGCGCCGACACGACGAAGCTGGAGGTGACCCTGGCTGCTCTCGTGGAGCGCGGGGCCGAGGCTGGCGCCATCCGCGAGTCGCTGACTTGCGATGAGCTGCTCCGGCGCAACAAGGCGCTGATGTTCAAGGTCGAGGGCCGCACCGCGACTCAACACGCAACCGCTGACAGGTTAGGCAGCTCTACGCACGCCTCCCCCTCGCCGGGGAATGGAGCCTGCAGGGCAGGGAGCAGGGCAGGGAGCAATTCGGAGTTTTCGGCGCCTGTCGACCCGGCACCCGGCACGCTCCAGACGCTTCGCTCGCCTCTCCGTTTACGGATGACGTCGCGGCCGAAGCAGCTACCGCTGGTGCTGCCACCTCGCTCTCCGCGCTCGAAGGCATCGCTGCCGACGGCTTGCAGGCTGCTGCTCGTACGAGCTCGCCGACTTCGGCACGCCCCTCCGTGCCGTCCGACCCGCCAGCCGGCACGTCTCCCGACGCTTCGCTCGCCTCTCCGTTTACACACACAGCTATCAATCAGGCAGGGACCTCCCGACGCGCTCGCTGCGCTTCTCGTCTCACTTCATCGCGTGCCTGTCCACCAGCGACCAACCAGCGTGTCTGTCTGTCAACTCTTCTCGGTACTGCATGTCTGTGACTGGCTGAGTGAGACCGGCTTACTGACTGCCTCTTTCCACTTTCGCCCGCCAGCTGCCAGCCAGTCACCAACCACACCACCCAGATACCCAGCGCAGGTGTCGCATCCACCCTCGGTTCGGACCATGGCCGTCTCATCTCAGTCAGTTTCGCCTGCGAAGCTGTCCTGTTATACACACGGCGCCCCCCTGAGATGTGAGAGTGCGGGTGGGTAGGCCCTAAAACGGCGGGAGGGGTAGGGGTGCCGCTGTAGGGGTGTGGAGGGGTCGGGAGGGCGGGAGTGTGGACCGTGACCTAAAGCCCTCCACCGATAGAGGTGTCAGGCGGCAGGGCCCAGGAGGGCACTCGGAGGGGTGGGGGCTGGGAGGGCTGGCCAAAAGCGAGGCGTAGGAGGGCTCGTGAGGGCTTGGGAGAGGTGTGGAGAGCTCGGAGGGGTCGGAGGGGTCGGAGGGCAGAGAGGCACGAGGTGGCGCTGGTGGGCTCGGGAGGGCTCGGGAGGGCTCACAAGGGATGGAGTGCCCGGAGGGCTCGGAGGGGCGAGCCGCCGGCTTGGAGGGCTCGGAGGGCTTGGAAGTGGGAGGGCTCGAAGACGGACCTTTCTCGCTTCGGGAGGGTGGAGGGGCAGAGGGTGGAGGGGCGGAGGGGTGGTTGAGCCCTCTAGCTCTGTCGATATAGCCCTACCCCTCCCGCCGTTTTAGGGGCCTACCCACCCGCTATGTGAGATGTGATTGAGGTGCAGATGAGCTCGCGAGCTCGCACATGTGTTTCGTCGATCGGCCGTCCTCTTCACACATCTCATTGAGATTGTTATTCAAATTCCATGTTCACCAGCAATTGTCTCCCTTTTTTTTTCACCACCTGAGATCCCAAATCTCAGCCCTGCAATCATGACGACCCCAACCAAATCTCAGCCCTGCCATGCCATGCCGTACTGCCCTGCCCGAACACTGCCGCACAACTGCCCTGCCCGATCCCCTACCTGCCCCGGGTGTGAAACCCACACTGCCCTGCTCGGCCCAGACTACACTGCCGAGGTGTGAATAACCGGCCGCTCGCGAGGTCTCGGAGAATATACGTATATCGGCTACGCAACGGGGAGCGATGGTCGACCCTGTTGGCTGCCGGCCACCCCAACAAAACACCCCAACCCCATCTGCAGAGATTGACCGCAGAGCCCCACCCTCGGTTGGTCCCGTGTGCACCACGCCGAGGTACAGCAGCGAGCCGAGGCGACGTAGACGGCTCGGCTCGCTGCCGGAGACGAGGGGGTTTCCTCCAACGTTCCCTGAGTTGATCGCTGCCCGGAGTCTTGAGAGTACTATTGGATCGGATGCGGCCTTGTCGTCGCCGTCGACGCGTGGCTGGGGTTTGCGCCCGAGCCAGTTTTGGGCTAGCAACAATTCACGAGCAAGGGAGGTGTGGATGGCTGGTGTGTCCCGCAGCACGAACCACAACCCGGCGTTCCACGCTTCCTATTCCTGCGCGCTGCGGCAGCTGGCCAGCGCCCGGGCGCGACGATATATTGACGGAGAACGACGATTGACGGAGAACGGAAGCAACTCTACCTTCGCAACGAATGTGTCACTCGCTTGGGTATCAGCCTCCAATACATCCACATGCTCCGCTCTCTCCACTCGCGACTCAGTACATCCGTTTTGTGCCTTCTCTTGCCGCGCGCGCAGTCACCGGCCGCGCAGCGCACCGCCGCCACACCGCGTTTGGCTCGCAGCGCAACACACACGCACAGCGCAACACACACTCGTGCGCAAAGAGTCTCCGCGCGCGTCACGCACAGGCGCTAAGCCCGGCCCCGCGCCATGAAAGAGGAAATGTGCCAGAACCAAAGAGTCGAACGTGAGCAGAATCGATGCGCATCGAGCCGCCTCTCGTCAGTACATGCGAAAGGTCGGCGACGCGTGCCCGATGGCGCGTCCACTCGGCTGAGGGCGGTCTAAACGCCGAAAGCCAAGCTACTGCACCTTAATAAGCCACGCGTTGCGATGCTTCGCTCAGGCCCCTGGCTAAGGCTGGCACGTCAGTCGGCTGCCATGGCGCGGGCGGAGGCGCGGCAACGGGGGGCCGGTCCTGTCGCGAAGGGCGTAGTGGCGGCGCTTCGCAATGAGCGCCCGCTTCGTGCGCCGCCTCGCATCGGTGGACGGCGGAGACGGCCCCTTCTTCTTCGCCTTCTGCGGGGCGGTTTGTAGCGGCGGTGAGAGAGAGTCTGTCGCCGAAACCATGGACGCCCACAGAAAGTGGTAGGGCTCCAGATCGTCGATCTCGTCGCCCAGGAGGCTGTCAAAGGCGTTGGCGATCTCCGTCGACGTGCAGGTGAACCCCATCAGGCGCTCCTCGAGCTCCGACTCCGACTCGTCGTTTCGCAGAGCGCAAGGCGCGGCGGCGAAGAGGCCGCTCTGCGCAGAGCGCGCAACCTCTGCCGTGTGTGCTGCCGCGCGCGTAGGCTGGCTGCCACCGCTCGCCGACGGGGGTGCGCTGCGAGACGTCGGCTTGAGCGGCGGGCCCGGCAGCGCCGGCCGGACCGCGGAGGGGAAGGTGTAGCTGCCGCGCCGCACGACAGGCCGCAGAGCGGCAGCGGGATTTTCCACCCACGGAAATGCTTGCGGTGGAGAGACAACGCGCACTGCGCCAACCGCTCGCAGCGAGAAGGGCGCGAGCGTACAGCCGGCACAGCGGCCGAGCTCGCCGGCGCAAGAGGCGCACTTCATCGTCTCAGGCTAATCGTCCCAGGGCTGTGAATACAAAATAATAATTCGTGCGACGGCGTCTGAAGCCTTTCTCAAGTAAGAGGGGATGAGTGTGGTGCTAGCCGTCGCCCACACTTGGGCTAAGGGCGTAGACAATAGCCATTCCTTACTTGCTTGGGCGTCTACGCCCTTACTTGGGCGTCTGCCTCTTCCTCTCTCTCTTCGCAGCAGCTTCGCAGTCTCTCGCCAATTCTCGCAGCGACCTTCATGCCACCTCGCGGTCTTCCCACTCTCGTCGTTCTCTTTCCTGCCCCGTCGTCCTCTGACTCATCGCTCTCCTCGGCCTCGTTCTGCGACGGCGCCGCCGCCTGCCGATCCCTTGCTCTCTGCAACTTCTCTCGCCACTCGGCGTATCTAACTCCGCTACTTCTCCTCGCGGCGTATTTTGGCCCCTCGAGTTTTATCGACCTCCCCTCGCGCAAGGACCACTCTTCTGACAAAAAAAATCTCCCTCTCTTCTGACTCCCACTCCGAGAGAGAGATTTTTAACAATACCAAACAACTCTAACACTCACACGTCATTTGGGGCCTGGAGCCCTGTTCACGCGCGCGCGAGACGTGCAGACAGGGTTGCCAGGTGAGAGCGAATGGCGCGGTTCACGCCTCGCACAACAGAGAGAGAGATGCGCTCTGCATGGTGGGACATGAAAGAGAGCGAGTACTTGGGCGAGTAGGCCGTGCGGTCGACGCTGCCGCGCGCGCGCGACTTTGCGCGCGAGGCGGCGCAGCTTGAGAACGGCGGTGGGCGAGAAGCCGCCGCTGAACGTCTCGTGGAGCAGCAGGTTGAAGTTGTTGCGCTTGACAAAGATCGCGTCGTGGTAGAAACCGCGATGCGCCTTGACGTAGCCGTGGCCGGTCTTGTGGGAGAAGGGTTGGCTGGGCTGCCCGCGCGCCTTGCAGCCCATGTTTAGGCGGCGGGCCTTCTCTTCGGTGTTGCCGAAGGCGTAGGAGTGGCCAACGGAGGCGGGCGTGCCGCCACTCGAGGCGTTGCCAACGCCCGTCGAGGAGGTCTTGAGGAGGGGCGTGCAGAGCTTGATTTCGTTCACTTCATCGCATCCTCCCGGCCCAGCGTGGGGTTCTGCGAGGTCGACCTTGTACCCCTCTCGTTGTACTGCCGGGTGAGCTCTGGTTTCTCCTTGTCACCGTGCACGACCGGCGCGTTGGCCGGGGCGCGCATCGCGTCCGCCCAGGCGGCGAGGACGCCGTCGTGGGGCCGCCGGTGGTGGGCCTTGTTGTAAAGGTAGTCGCCGAATAAATCGACTGGCATGCCCCGCTCGAGCGCGACCCGAAGGGTGGGAAGCGCCACGGAGAGCCAAAGGCCGAGCTTCCGCTGGAGCTCGTCCTGGAGGGCGTCGGAGGAGAGGGCGGTGGCGTCGTGCCGTCGACACGGACATCGAAGGCCTTGCCGGCGAAAGGCGTTGAGGCGGAGATGAGGCGCGCGGCTTCGCGGTTGTTGACGGCGCTGACTCCGAGGGACGGGTTGTTCTTGACGTGCACATCCCGCGCCTTGACGAGCTCCTGGAGCGCGAACCAGTCCTTGTGATACTTCATGGCAGCGAGCGCCCGCGCGGCCGCGGGTACGTGGATTTGCAAGTGCCATTGAGAATCACGTCGGTAGCTGGAAGGGACTCGGGCTCGGGGAGCGGGACGCTCTTGGGGTAGAACTCAGTCAGGTAGCCGCCGCGGACGGTGTGTTACTTGTTTTTGTCGCGGGCGGCGCGCTTCTCGCACACCTCCTTCCAGTCCGAGAGGGCGGCGCGCTTCTCGCACGCCTAGCTGCGGCGATGGCGGGGTACTTGGACGCACCTCCCTCGTCGAGGGCGAAGTCGGGGTTGTGGGCGACGAGGGTGCGCCAGTCTTGAGGAGCGACATGGAGAAGTCGCTGTCGGCTCGCGTGAAGGCGGTGTCGATGTTGCACCCGCCCATCTCGGTCGGCAGCTGCGCCTGGAGCCACGCGAGTCGCGGAGCGCCTGGGGCGAGGCGTCGGCGCGAGCAATGCCCTCAAAGGACTTGCGGATGCGGTTGTGCGCAAACTCGAGAGCCTCGCACGCGACATTGGGCGGCGTGATGCCGGCAATGTACTTGGTCTTTGCACAGGCAATCCGTTGGACGAGGTTGAGGCGGAGCTGCGAGGTGTTCGTGACGCAGTCAGTGTCGACGATCGTGTCGATGACGTCGAGCGGCGCGAGCTTCTTCCTGAGGTGCGCGGTGAGCTCCTTTTTGCAGGCTTCAGGGTCGCCAAAGAAGGTGCCGACGGCCTTGAAGCAGTCCACTCGTCCCTGGACGACCCCGCAGGCGGACTTGGCGTAGTTGGGGTCGTTGTAGTCGGGGCACTCGAGGCTGAGTGGGTCCCAATCGGCGGCGGAGAAGTCCAGGTCGTCGCCGTCGGCGGAAGGCAGCCGCAAGGCGCCCTCGGCCTTGACAAGGCGGATGAAGCTGGGCGTGCCCATGATGAGGCGAGCGACGGGTAGGAGGTCAGGGCGTCGCTTGCGGATCCAGTCGAGGAGCTTGACGCGCCCACAGCCGTTGGGGTCAGGCTTGTTGTCGGCCGTGAGCGCCTGGGCGATCGTGTTGTAGAAGTTCTCCTTGTCGCCCGAGATGGTCGCGTTCTCCGGCTTCGTGCCGTGCCACCCCGCAACGGTGTGGGCGTACAGGTGAGTGCCGTTCTTGGAGAACGCGTAGTTCTTTGGGAAGTTGACAGGCGCACGGGCGCGCTCCTCCGCAACCTCGGCCGCCTCGAGGTCGGCGAGAGCGGCCGTCGCCTCGGCCGAGTCGTGTCCGTGCGTGATGCATCTCGAAGTGTACGCGGCTTCTGCGGTGGCGGTGGCGACGGTGGCGTCCTCGAGTGCCTCCGCCCTGGCCTTGGCAACCTCAGGCAGCTGCGTGGTGCAGAACCGCTCCGCCCAGTCGCGCTCCTGGAGCGCGATGCACCGTTCAGCTGAGCGCGTGAAGAGTGTTGCCACTCCGATCAGTTGGGATTGCCGCCAGGTCATGTCGTTGCACAGATCTACTCTCGTTTCTGGCACCGTTGCCGGCACCTCCACGGTTGGTGATGGTGTTGGCGCTGGGGTTCCCTTCGGGTACATCGTGAGACGTGACAGCTGACGACGCCACGACGGGAATTACTTACCACTTTGGCGTGTCGTCCTCATCTCGGATTCGTCTTCTCCGGACTCCTTCCGTTCGGCGTGGCTCACCCACGTGAACAGGCGCCCTCGCGCCCTCTGTGGCCATCCCTATATCGCTCCTCAACAAACAAAACAAATCTACCACTCACGCTCCTCTGTCTGCCCATACCAAAGAAAGAGAGAACCAAGGGAGGGATGGGAGGACGGCACGCCGCGACTTGGGCTCAACCCGGTTTGCCTCTCGCACCCGGTCTGTTTTCCTTTCCTTTTTTTCTACAACACCCTCTCCTTTCCTCTCTATTTTCCCGGGAAAACTGCGTGGAAATCGTCAAATTTTGGGCTCTGAGCCGAGTCTGAGGCTGGCCTTGGGCCCAAAATCAGCCAAATTTTAGGCCAAATCGGCAAAATGCCGGGAATTTCGCGGAGAACCCGTGTATACCTGGAAATTACCCTGCGACCGCCTGGGTATTTTGTCGATTTCCTCAATTTTGCATCAGATTTTGCCCCAGACCAGCTCTCAGACTCAGGGAAACTCGCGAGTTTCCAGAATGGAGCACCAAACACCCTCTGTTTCCCTGGAAATTTCCGGAAACGCAAAGTGCTGGGGACCCTCTGTTTTCCTTTTTGTTTTCCGGAAAACCGGGTTGATTGAGCCCAAGCCGCGACCATACAGGGATTTCAAGGAGAGGAGTGATCTGTGATCGTGGTGCTAGAGGCCCTAGGTAGGGATTCTAGGTAGGCCTAGGCCAGACAGGGGCATGGCACTTTGCTCTTTGGCTTGGAGTGCAGTCATTAACCTCAACCCACCCAGGGCCGAGGAGCTGAGAAGCGCACCCAGCGGGCCGGATGCTCGGGGACGGGCTACGGGCAAGAGAGCCCTGACCTAAATAAATAAATAAATAAAACGGGCACGCCAAACGAGGGGTGGGCCCTGACCTAAAAGAAAGAAAGAAAGAAAACAGACAACCCAAGGGAGGGATGGGAGGACGGCACGCCGCCACCACACAGGGATTTTAAGGAGAGGAGTGTGATGCGCTAGCCGTCGCCCACCCTAGGGAGTCTGCCTCTTCCTATCTCTTTTCGCAGTCTCTCGCCGATTCTCGCTGCAACCTTCATGCCACCTCGCGGCCGTCCCACTCTCGTCGTTCTCTCCCTTGTCACTGACCTCAACGGGCGCGCGTGGGCCGAAGAATTCTTTCGGCACAAAGAATTCAGTCCGCGCGAGCTCGACGCTCCCGAGACTCGGAGCCGCAAACGCAGACACACACGCCGCTGTTCACTATCCCAATGCTCTCTCTGCTCCCGCTCCTCGTGCATGGTCTACGAGCACCGCTGCCGCAGCGGGTGGCATCGCGCTCGGCGGTGCCAATGATGCAGGATGCGCTTGAGCAGGCTTCCGCGTCGGCGGACGCCTTCTATTCGATGCTCGGTGATCTGCAGCCACCAGCTTCGCTCGCTTCGCTCAAGGACGCCATCGCGTCTGGAGACCTGAAGAAGGTCCGCGTCGCTCAGTACAACCTCCTGATCGACCAGACGCTGCTCTGTGAGGCATGGCCTGGCACCCGCAGAAGGCACACGTCCACGCATGACGCCACTCTCTCCCACGCCGGCACAGATGACGTCGAGGGCGAGGGCGAGGGAGCGACGCTGGTCCCTACCGCTGCGAAGATGGAGCAGGACGACCCGCTCACAAAGGAAAAGATGCGATATGCGTACAGGCGTCGAGACCCGGCCCTGCCTTCCCGCCTCCACCACCAACCCCGCTCCTCCCCTCGACACACAGCTACGGCATCAAGATGTTCATGGCCGACATGATCGAACAGGAGGCGCTCCAGGCCGTGGTGATGGAGAAGCTCGCGGGCAAGGTTGGTCTGGATGGCGCAGGCCTCGACCAGTGGCTCGACATGCCGGCGGTCGTTTGAGACATGGGATCTACTCGAGTAAGTAGCAGCGCGCTCTGTCCAGGTAGGGAAGGCTGCTGCTTGTACGATGTCTTCCATTTTACGTAGGTCGTAGCAAGAGTAGGGCATATTAAGATGGTCGAGCAAAGCAAGCTGCAAGGTCATTCCGGCGCCTTTCGCAGGAACGATCTCGTGAAATAGTAATAGAGAGCAGTCACACCTCCACGCGTCGCGAGATGGGCGACGCACGAACAGTGCGCACCCCGCCCCGCTCGCAGGGCGTGCATCGCACAGGACACAGGTGGACTGTGTGACTCCTCGGGTTTCTGGCCGATCTGGGGGCAGAAAAGAAAGAAAGAAAGGAGATATCCCAAACGAGGGAGATAGGGGAGGAGGACAGGGTGCCCACCTGCACGAGCAGGATTTTGGAAGGACGATCAGGGGGCAGGTGGGGCTCTCCTGCTCCTGATTCTGGGGGCATAAATAAATAAATAGAGCAGTCATCTCCAGGAGAGATGGGCGACGCACGAACACAGAGGCACAGTGCGCACCCCGCCCCGCTCACGGGGCAGATTCCAGAAGAAACAAAGAAACAAAGAAAACAGACACCCCAAACGAGGGATAGGGGAGGAGGACAGGGTCCCCACCTGCACGAGCAGGATTTTGGAAGGACGATCAGGGGGACAGGTGGGGCTCTCCTGCTCCTGACAAGGGACACGACAGGCTCGCAGCGCGGTGCACGGTGGACTCCCACATCCACTGGCGGTCTCATCTCAGTCTAGCGAGGTAGGTAGGTAGTAAGGTGAAGAACAGCCAGGCTCGGACTGGACACCAACGCGGTATGGGTGGACGCCGGACAGATGATGACGACACGCACGAGCGACACACAGACACAAACAGGCTCACAAGACACACAGCCAGCGGGCTGCCACACACCCTGAGTTGGCGCACACATAACTCAAGGCCACATCCTCCCTGTCGCCCCCCCCAGCACTCCACGGTGCCAAGGAGTACAAACAAGGGCACAACAAACAACAGACGACAGGAAGTGATATGCGAGGCTAGAGCGGGCTTGCTCCACCTCTAGCAATCTCACCGGCCGGCAAGGCACGGACGAGACCGTGTGTGGGGTCTAGTGAGGTGTCTACGGACGCCCTCCTCACGGGCTAGCTGCCTGCGGCTAGCCCTTCTCGCACTCACAGGCAATGACAATCCAATGTATGAGTGTATGCAAGGAGCAAGCAGAGGCGCGTGTGCTGATTCTAGATCGCACGCCGTGGCATATGACTTGGGAGGCGTGCGACCTCAGCGCACCCGTCGTAAGGTCGGCGGGCGCGCGTGTCAGCGAGAGAGTTGCGGGCGGAGCCATACCCGACTTTTAGAGGAAGAGCCCCGCGCCACGGTTGCCAGCCGTGCCTTCGCGGGAGCCGCCCCTCGAGCCGCGTCTCGTCGCCACCGTCCCTGAGTGCGTCCCGCCTTGGCGGCACACACTTCTAGCGACCTGTCTCCAGAATGACCCTCAAAAAAAGGAAAAAATATTCGCGCGCCGCGGAACTCTGACCCCCCGGCTTGGGACTCCCTCGCTCTCGGCGCGATGCCCATCGACCAGGCGGTGATCGAGAAGCTGGCCAAGTACGTGGCGCAGGCGAACGACCAGATGGAGGCCGCCGTGCGCGAGCGCCAGCGCGGCAACCCTCAGTTCGCCTTCCTGTTCGGTGGCGAGGGCGCCAAGTACTACCGAGAGTGCCTCCAGCGGTTCAGAATGGAAGCGGCGGGGAGCGGCGCGGGCGACAAGCCGCCCCCGGAGAAGAGCTCGCTCGGTGGTGGCGGCTGGGGACCGCCGTCAGGGCACGCGTCGAACGGCGCATCAGGTCGTGCCGCGCCGGGAGGCGCTCACCCCTCGGATGGCCATGCCCGCGATGTCCGTCGGGACGCGTCCTCCGCGCACATGGGAGGTTACTGCGGCGGTGGCCGCGGTGGCGACAGTGGCGGCGGCGGCTGGGGTCACCAGGGCTACGGCGCAGCCCCGGTCAGCGGCGGTCCAGGTTGCGCGAGTAGCACCGGTGCGGCCCGCCAAGATGGGGGCGCGGGAGGGATGCATCATCCGAGTGTGCCGCCGTCAGGCCGCGCCCCCCTGGCCCCTGCCCACGGCTGCGGCGCTCCGCCCCCGTACCGCGACAGTTCCTGTGGCAGTGGCCGCGGCGCGGGTCCGGGCGTGTGCGGGGGAGCAGGCGGTGGCGGAGGAGGCGGCGGAGGCGGACCCGGCGGGGGCCACAGCGGCGGTCACGGCGGAGGAGACGACCCGAACCTGCCGCGCATCCTCGAGCTGCTCGAGCGGCGGGACGAGCTCCGCTCGCGGCGCGAGTGGGCCGAGGCGGACCGACTCAAGGAGGAGCTCTTCGCGCTCAACGTGCGGATGGACGACCGGAACAAGACGTGGTGCATCAAGCCGCCCGGAGGTGACGGCAGCAGCGCGCCGTCCGCGGGAGCACACCCGTGCGGCGGCGCGCCCCCCGCCGCGCCGCCTCGGCGGCCGACGCACGACTACGTCCGAGCGTCCGATGACCGCGCGCGGCTCTCTGCGTCGGACGAGGCTGCGATCCACGAGCTCCTAGCGCGCCGCCTCTCCGCAAAGATAGCGCGCGAGTTTGACACGGCCGACGCGGTGCGCGACGAGCTGCGCAAGGTCGGCGTCGAGGTGATTGACCGAGACAAGCTCTGGCGCGTCGTCCGGCCGCAAGCGCTCCCCTCCGCCGCCGCGCCCCACCCGCCGCCGCGCCCTGCGGCCATACCCGCAGCCCCACCAGGCGGCGACAGGGGCGGGGGCGTCCTGCCCGCGCTGGTGCCGGGCGTGCCGTACGAGCAGCAGCACGACTACAGGTGCAGCTCCGACCCGGCGGAGCTGCGGCAGGTTGACCTGGGAGGCGTGCACGAGCTGCTCGCCCGCCGGCTGGCCGCAAAGAAGGGGAGGCAGTACGAGCTCGCAGACGAGATGCGGCTCGCCCTGCGCGAGCGCTACGCCGTCGAGGTGTTTGATCGCGACAAGTTGTGGCGCGTCGTGCCCCCCTCGGCCGGGGGCGGCGCCGCCGGGGCCAGCGAGTGGCAGCGAGCCGCGCCGCTAGCCCCGTCGGGCGGGGGCGGGGGCGGGGGGGTGTACGTGCCGCGCGGGCCGCCGCGAGTAGACGCCGTAGCTCCGCCCGTAGCGGGTCCGTTTGGTGGCGCCCCCGCGCGGCCGCCGGTGCGGCACGGGTACTCACGCGAGCCGGGCGACACCGCGTGGGTCGACATGAGCCGACTGGACGCGCTGCTCTCCGAGCGGATGGCGTCCAAGTTCGCGCGCGACTTTGCGCGGGCCGACGAGCTGCGCGAAGTGATTAAGCGAGAGCTCGGCGTCGAGGTGGCGCACACGCCGCCGCGCGCGCCCGCCGCCCCGCCGCTCGCTTGCGCTGTCGCCGTCGCCCCCAGCCGCAGACCCATCACCGCGATCGGGCAGAGCCCCACACGCGCGCCACACTTGCGCCGCGGCCCCGTGCACCCCCTCCCTGAGACTGTCGCCCGCGCGCTGGCCCCCGGAAGGTGCACGACAGCCAAAAGACGTGGCGCGTGGCGTGGACGTCCGCCGGCCCTCCGCAGAACGGAGGCCCGGGAGGCAGCCTTGGCTGGGGCGGCGCGCCCTTCCAGCCGCCGCGTGCGCCTCCGCCGCGAGGCTCCTTCACCGTCCAGCCCTCGGGCTTCGACGGCGACTTTGCAGATCTCAAAGACTCGCGCCGCCGTGACCGCGGGAAGGACCGCTCGCGCTCGCGCTCCAGGTCGCGCTCGAGCTCGCGAGACCGCCGCCGGCGGTGACTAGGGTGGTGATGTCGTCGGGGCCGTAGCCGAACAGTCATCAGCCACCGTCGTCGACGGCTCTGATTCCCTGCGCTACACGATGGCGACGCGCAGGGCGAGCTTTGCGCCAGCCGTGGAGGCTCGCGCGCAGGAGCCTCACGGGAGAGCGTCGACGTTCGACACCCTCCTGTGGCGACCCACCGCGCATTTGACGCGGGCCAACGATTAGGGCACGGCGCGTCCGAGAGCGTCACTTTAGTCCCGACCCTGTCTCTTGCCAAGAGCGCCGCGCGCGGCACGCGCATTCGCCATACATTCCAGGGCTTGCGCGCGAGCGCCGAGCCCGAGGGCGGCATGCGATGGGGGCTCCAGCCGGGCGAGCGAACAGGTAGATCTGGGCCGCGTATCTTTCCTTTCAAAAAGTCGCCGATCCGCGTTTCCCTGCCCACCCTCGCTGCGCCGTGCGCGCCGCTGGGCGGCTGGGGCCCTCCCCCCGTCGCTACCTCGTCCAGCGTGCAGCGAGCTCTGCCAGCGCCATTTGCTCTCTCGTCTCTGGCCTCTCTCGAGCAACTCTATCGACTACGCGGCACTACCCTCACTGCCACGGCTCGCCGCGCATTTCGTCAGGAATCGTCGCGCCGCCAGGAGGGTCGCTCCCTACCCACTGCTGGAGGTCCATCGGCTCAGTATCGGCGCCGGGACCGAGTACGCCGTCGGGCAGCGGGAGCCAGAGACCGAGGGCGAGCGCCGCCGCGCACAGCAGCGCCTCGTGCCGCGCCGCGGGCAGCCAGCGCCACGGCCACGCGTCCCCAGAGTGAGCAAACGCGAGCCACGAGCCACGCTCGCGCCCCGTGTCGGAGAGCTCGCACGCACGCTCCCGCGTCTCCCATTCGCGCCGCGCTGCTCGTAGGGCCAGCAGCGCCGTCCCGCACACGGCGAGGACGAGCGCGAGCGGCGAGTGCAGCGGCCGCGCCGGCGCTGGCCCGTGGCTGGTGCCGCCCCAGTCGATGACACGGTCGGTCATCCGCTCGCACAGCTCAAGCTCGTCCCACTCCTCGTCGTAACACCAGCCGGTGCCGTCGAGCGAGTACCAGTTCCACGGAAGCCACGCGTGAATGAAGGATGCGGTCGGCGGCGGTGCAGCCGCAAACGGTGGGCCGCGCTCACCTGATTGAGCGCACGAGTCGGCTTCGTTGCTGGCGAGCACGGCGGCCCAGTCCTCCGCCCAGCTCCGCTGCGCCGCCGGGTCGAGATGCGGCAGCCAGGGCGCGTCGCAGGTGCAGCGCATGGTAGACCGCGAGGGCTGACAGTCCTCGCGCGAAAGCACAACGCGGTGGCGGCAGGGTTTGGGCCCTGTTGGATAGGGAGACCAGACCGTATTGAGTAACCGGCGAACCCGCCGGTGGCATCTCTTTCCACCCAAGAAGCCCGTTTGGAGGGATGGGCGGCAGAGTGTGCGGGCGGTGAGTGCTAGTCCTCTCATCAATTTAGAACGATAAACGGGGATTGAAACGCCCCTCCCTTCTTCCCTCTCTACTAGCTGAGGGGCTCGCTAAACGCTCGCCGAGCTCCATGCTGTGCAACACCACCTCCTCACTAATCGTCAGGGGCGCGGAGAGCGCAGTGCACTACGGTGAGGCTGCGCAGCGGGGCCTCGCCCCCTGCACCGCGCTCAGCGGCGTAGGGGAGAGGGCGGTCGGTGGCGGCGGCGGCGAGGCGCGAGGCGGTGGCGGCGGTGGTGCGGGCGGCGGGATGACAGGGGGGGCGGCGGGATTGACAGGGGAGGCGGCGGCCACGAGCGGAGCGGCGCGAGAAGGGGGGGGGGGCGGCGGCGAGGCGCCGGCGAGCGAGGCGCCCGCGCCATCAGAGGGACGCGCCGCTGCGAGATGGAGGGCGGCGGTGACGGAGGCGAGGCGCGAGGCGGCGGCGGCGGCGGCGGCGGCGGCGGCGGCGGCGGCGGCGGGTCTCGGTGAGCGGCGGCGGGAGGAGGAGCAGCGGCGGTGGGAGGAGGAGCAGCGGCGGCGCTCGCTCGCTGTTGACGGGAGCGCTTTTGAGCCTGGGATCCCATGCCACTGCGACCGGCGGGCCCGGGAACGGAGATCGCGCGCGCGCCGCCACTCACGACGCGCGCGCGATCTTCGCGGAGTCGGGTCCCCAGAGGGAAGCGGTCTTCTCGGCCGACGTCCAGCGGCGCGCAAGGAAGCAGGCGCAGCGGAGGCGGCCTAGCACCGGCTCGGCGCCGGGCGGTTGCGCTGCCCGCGAGCCGCGTCCTGAGCCTCGGCAGCGCGCTGCGCGGCGCGGCGCTCGCGCTGCTTCTGTGCCGAGAGCGGCATGATTCGCCAGCTGAAGCTCCAGACTCCTCGGTCCACGAATTCCGCTGGTCACGATTTGCGCAGGTTGAGGGGAAATTGGCGTAAGCGTCTGAAAGCAGTCTTGGGTGGTTAGCACGCTGGACACAGGAGGGCGTGGGAAAAACTTTTTCTGATTTTCTGGCGGGATTGAGGATCTTCCATGCCTTTACCCCTCATCCCAATCGAGCCCGTGCCTGAGTGTATCCCCCCAAGCCGGATGGAGGCCTCGACCGGCCCTCGCGACGAGCTCTCGAGCGGCTCGAGCAGCTCGCCACCGCCACCGCCGGGACAGAGCCCGTGAGTCTCGGTAGGTAGGTAGGTAGAAAGGTGAAAAGAAAGAAAGAAAGAAAACAGACACGCCAAACGAGGGATGGGACGAGGACAGGGTCCCCACCTGCACGAGCAGGATTTTGGAAGAACGATCAGGGGGACAGGTGGGGCTCTCCTGCTCCTGACAAGGGACACGACAGGCTCGCAGCGCGGTGCGCGGTGGACTCCCACAAGGTGAAAGAAAGAAAGAAAGAAAACAGACAACCCAAGGGAGGGATGGGAGGACGGCACGCCGCCACCACACAGGGATTTTAAGGAGAGGGGTGTGAAAAAGAAAGAAAGAAAGAAAACAGACAACCCAAGGGAGGGATGGGAGGACGGCACGCCGCCACCACACAGGGATTTTAAGGAGAGGAGTGTGATGCGCTAGCCGTCGCCCACCCTAGGGAGTCTGCCTCTTCCTATCTCTTTTCGCAGTCTCTCGCCGATTCTCGCTGCAACCTTCATGCCACCTCGCGGCCGTCCCACGAGAGGGGTGTGAGTCTCGGCAAGCTGAGCAGCTCGTTTTCTTGAAAACGATAATCCAGGTCAGCATGCACAATCTCGGATGCAGTAGCGCCCTCCGTCGCCCCGCCGGCTGACGTTCGCCGCCGCCACCGCCCCTCGGCCCCAGGCAAAAGTGGAATGATGACCACCGTCGCTCTCGCGCTCCTCGAGTCGGCCCAGGCCTTCACGGCGCCCGCGATGCGCGCGCCGGCCCGCTCCACGGCGGTCACCATGTTCGAGGAGGGCGACATCGGCGTGCTGCCGCCGCTCGGTGCGCTGCGCCCGCCTGCTTCCAGCGCGCTGCTTCGCCGGGAGTGCCCCTCCCTTCCCCGGGAGGCCGCCCGCTCAGACGGGGAGGCCACAGGCGCGCGGCCGACGCCTCCCGGCTCATGGGCGCTCAGGCGTGTACGACCCGCTCGGCCTGATCGAGACGCGTGACATGCGCCGGTACGAGATCATGGAGATCAAGCACGGCCGCGCCGCCATGCTCGGCTTCCTCCACGTCATCCACCTCGAGGCTGGCGTCCGCTTCCCGGGCTACCTGTCCGGCTCTGCGGGGCTCAAGTTCACAGACATGCCCAAGGGCTGCTTCGCCTCGCTGGAGGCGGTGCCGGCGCTCGGCTGGCTCCAGATCCTGGCGGTCGCCCTCGCGTGCGAGACCGGCTACGCCGGCCGCGCCTTCTCGGTCGTCAAGCAGACGGACGACCGCGAGCCGGGCGACATTGGCGGCGAGGGCTGGGTGCGGTACGACGACCCGGGCGAGAAGGCGTACAAGCTCAACGTCGAGCGCCAGAACGGGCGCGCGGCGATGATGGGCATCACCGGCTGCTTGGCGCACGAGATCCTCGGCGTGGACGCACTCTACCCCACCGGCGGCTTTGGCGGCGAGGCGCCGCCGGAGATCATCGACATGTACACCTCCTTCGCCAACTTCCCGTCCTTCGCCGCGGTCTAGGCTGTGGGGGCACGAGGTGCGTCCTCGCCGACTCTGCCCCCCCCCCCCC